GATCAAGTCAGTAGTGGTCAAGTCGCTGGCGTTGCACAGAGAGTAAACTGCTGAGTCAAGATTAGTTATGGCTGAATAGATCAGGTGAGTCAGCAGAGTAACAGCTGAGTTGACAAATGAAAATGAGAAGCGAAAGGACAACACACCTGAGGAGTTCATCGGTCAGCATCACCGTAAACAAGACATGTGACTGTGTCCAGACGGTATCAATGTGGTATTTTCTAGGCCAAGATTTCATTTGTAAAATTAGTTTCACTGTTAGTAAAGGGGGGAGGTATTTTGAAAGAGGAGACCAAGTGAGGACTCAACACAGCAGGAAATGTAGTAAAGATTGTTGTGACTGAAGCAATACCACTGATGTCAGATCAGCCGTAGAACTCAGCCGTATTCATCTGTTTGGAGGGGAGGTGAAAAGTTTTTCTCTTCTAACGAACATACAAGTATTTTCATTTGTGTACATGCAAACGGAGTCCGTGTACTGATGACGAAGTACAACTGTACAGAACCAGAAAACATTTGTCTTTTTTTTTGTTTTGATACTGAAGTTTTGGTACCTGGCTTTTGGGTGGTTCTGGTTTAGTTTAGTTTTGATAAAATAACTATCAAAGCAACATTATCTTCTCTGCTCTGTCAGCCTGTAGGGGATGAGGGTATCATATCGGTGAGAACCATTATCCAAAAATTAGCTCAGAGTGACAGTGTTTTCATCAACTCTGAGGAGCCTGCACTTTGACAGCTTTTGTGTGCTGTGGTTTAAAGAATGAGAAAAATCTTAAAGTATTTAACTACTTATCATTTCAGGCTGAGAAAAGGTGTGGGGACCGAGTGCACGCACGCTTTATCCTCGATCTGAGGAGTGTGCCGATCGTCACGGCAGACTGCCACCGAGCAAACAACCTTGGCCTAAGCCACTGACCATGCAATCGTCTTTGACAGTTTGTGCTGCTTAAGCTGAATGCATCTCAGAAAATATCTGGCTCTTCTTGTTTAGAGCAGTTGGGGCATGTTAGGGCATGGGTGGATGTAGCTGATGTAGCTTTTCGTCTGTCGATAAAAAAAATCCCTCTGATAACTTCCAGTCTGTCAAAAGCTTACTATCAGTGCCTGGATCTGGTCTTGGTGCAGGCTTCAAAAGGCCACACACACACAGACACACACATAGTGTTGAGTTTCAATTACAACTGAACTGAAAATATTTTTAAATGAATAAATAAATAAATGTCAATTATATGTAACAGATTTATTTTATTATTTATTTAGGAAATAAATGTAAGTATATTATTGGCAAATGTAAAAGTAAACGGCAGACAGAGCTTAATGTTAGCTAGTGTATTTAAACCGGACCTGACCGTTGTACTGGTTGTGTTAGAACAAGTTTTGCCACAATGTGTTTTTTGTAAACAAATGGCGCAGGTTATTAAAATTGCAAATTACTTAGACGGCATGACAATCACTTCAGTCTTTCAAAGGCACAGAGAAAGTTTTGATGGCACCAAAATTGATCACTTTTCAAATTGTACAATTATTTTGACTTTTTACACGAAATATTTTCACGAACATATCTGACTGACCGCTTGTCAACACTTAGATGCAGTTTTTATGTCTTTGTCTCTGTTATGAATGAGTTTTTGTTTACAATCACAAACGATGACACCTAGGATTTTTCGGTCTGCAGTCAAACCCAAATTACCCCACAAGGAAAATCCCTGCAAAATCTGAAGACACTTAGTCATGTGTATGAGGAGCTTTTGAAAGAGCTGTAATTAGGCTTGTGACCATCATGTACTTATTTAGTGGGAGGGAGAGGTGATTTAAGGAGGGTCACATCTTAAAAGGAGTGTTTCTGGTCCCAAACACAGTCTTATATACGATTTAGCTATGACTGCAACTAAAACTTTTTTTCAACAAATTATATTATTTTGCATAATGCATGAAAATATGTCAATATATAAATGGTTCATTATAAACTGAACTTTTAGGTGCTTCTTACTAGTTAATAATAGTGTTCATCAAATTATGAAACAAATGTCATCAATTTATTACAAAAAATAATAATTTATTTTTTATTTAAGTGACACTTAACCATCACATAAACATTCAAACCGATTCCTTGGTCCCAACATTGTGTCGGTACTAGTAAATTTATAAAATACATCTACAAGATTAAGAAAGAAACAAATTATTTGTATAATTATTGTATAACTATTAATATATTATATATTACATACATATATTATTTCCTATCACACTGAGATAAATCTAGAATGATATACGCAAACTTGCATTTTAATAATTTTATTTTACTATTTTCTTAATCGAAAAAATGTTAACTTAACTGTATATAAACTTTCTGTCATATTCGAGGAGATTTAATTGGTTAAAGGGAATATTTCAACAAAAACCGTTTAAAAGCCCAGAATGTGACAGAACTGTCCTCAAAAGTCAGAAAACACAATAATATTAAAAATGGAGGTGATGACGTTGATGACGATGGTGGTAAACAGACAGACAGAAAACACAGAGAGATGACGGTTACACTGTGAACACTTCTTCAAATAATTGAGCTCCGTCACTTACTGTTATTCTTCTCTCAGTGAGAGAAAACTTTGAACCAAGTCAGTTTGACTACAACAAACATTATAATTAGGACGGGTTCATTTTTATGTTACCTGCCGTCGAGTCCTGCTGCTCTGTCGCCTCCATTAGCGTTTCCACTTACAGCACAACGGTAAAAGGAAAAACCGGCGAAAGAACATCGAGAAAAACAACAGTCAACCGGTTAGCTGTTTCGACGGCGAGTGTTGTAGCAGGCAGAACACCGAACAACAGCCCGGGTGAGCAGCTGACTACCTCTCAGGTCATGTGACTAGCACCACGTGACCACCACAACCAATTATAGGCTTAGACTCTCCACTACAATCTTTAATGAACACAATCGGTTCCTTTATTGGAACTGTAGTTCCCCCTTAATGCTTGCAAAGACAGAAATAAATGAAAATAACGTATTTATAGTTCCCTGTTTGAATGTGGGATAGTTGTGGACACAAACATTTGACCCTGACAGTTGATGAGGTGTGCACACAAATGTCCTGAAGCTCAATTGTGTCTGGGTTTAAATTTACAAAGCAGCTGTTACATAGTTTTGCAATTTTTAAACATTTAAAAAAATGTACTGAACGTACCACAGGGAAAGTATTGCATTTAACACAGGATTCACTACAACACATTCAATGTAAATTAGAAAATAAAGGCTTACAGGAATCTAAACATTTTCATATCGGTTCATTGGATGTGAGAATGCTGTAAGGATCAGAATCTTTTGAAATACTAATGAATATTTGTATACATTAAAGGTACACATTACTTAACATTTATCAACAATCAAAAATAACTTAAGTCATAATTGTTTCACAAAAACTCACTAGGACAGTCCCTCCACTATTTTAAATGTGTTTTAGTTTAAGTATTGTACATGTTACACATGTACCTGTACACATGGCACTATTGTTGTCTTTTTTGTAGACCTGGTTTAAATTTGTTGTTACAGGTGTAATTTTTTTACTACTACTAACGAATGATATAAATTTATATCAATCAACAAGGAAAGAAATTACACATGACCAATGCAACTATATTTGTTAAACATTTTATTATATAACAAAACTAAACTAATTTCTTACAGCCAGAAATCATAATCTGGTAATTCAGCCCGATTGGTAATTCTGGCTGTATTCCCCTTTGACCCTTACTTTTAACATCGGTTTTCATAAAACAAATTGTTCATGTAAGAATGTCTAAATATTTGAAATCCTGACCTCTGCATTTGTCATTAGTTCCCATTGATAACCTGTACTATAATGGGCAGTTGGTCATCAGTTACTCATATATTTCCTGACAGTAGAGAGCAGAAAAACAAACATGTTTCATCATAAACTAATCATTAACCATAAATCTACTCCATAAAAAGACTGATTCATCATGTCACATGCAAAATAGATTATATTTTCCACTTTAAAAAACCAAAGGAAAGACCGAACCATTTACTGTTCACTCATACATTTCCAAAGTCATCTACAGGCAATGAGGTACTTTATTTTTTTGGTTTCCTCCTGGCACACGAAAACACACTGTAGGACAAATCAATATTTGGAGGCGTCAGCGTACAAAGACAACACTGCAGTCACGTAGGTTCCCCTACACAAACAAAGCTTTACAATTCAACTTAACAGTAATGTTGTCAGAAACTGGGTTGGACTATTTAACATTTGGGGAAGGATTTTCTCTGGTTATTCTATAAAAGAGAAACCATTTCCAATAACTTGAGACAGAGTCTGGTTCCTTGATATTGGTTTGTCAGAAAACCACTTTTTTTTTTTTTTTTAGAAGCAGCCTCTGAAACATGCAACATGACTTTGTCTGTTTTTATGACTTTCACTACAGCTCTGCTCTGCTTTTTCTCTGTCTGCAGCAGGCCAATTGGTGAGTGGATCTTTTGGTTTAACATTGAGTTTCATCATAACATTTTCAAAGTTATTGTGATACAAAACTGACACGCAGGGCCAGATTCTTGTACTATTATAGCAAGTACACTGTATGCACAACACAAGTTGGAAGCGTGTGGCTTTAAAGTTACACTGTCTTAGTTGTATGCACACAAGTTGGAAGTGTGTGGCTTTAAAGTTACACTGTCTTAGATGGTAAACGGCCTGCTGTTATATTTGGGTATTTAGCATTGTGTAAACAAATTTTACGTTATCTAGTGTCTGTTTACTCCTTTCTCTTTCCTTCTACACAATTAATTCCACAACTGTTTTAACAAAGATATAAATAAATATACTGGTAAGAGTCTCGTTTGTAAATAGATCTATGTTTTGAACTTTTGATATCTTTAGCAGTTAGAGAAAAAGAAGGCTCTAGCTACAGCCAGGTTGTGGTCACAAACACGTGCAGTAACTCTGCTAACGTTGGCTCAATTTCTCTCTCTTTAAAAAAAACCCCAAACTACTAACAGTAGTCTGTGACCTTGAACACAAGCTCTGAGTTCACGAGGCTGCAAATCACCTACCAAGCCTAGCTTGTTATTGGTTCATAAGTAAACCATTTTCACCATTTTCTCATTTGTGTCATTATAAGGCATCCATCTGAGAAACATGGACAGTTTTATTCGTGCTGTGCAACAGCTTGAAGACTCAAATCCTGACCTGTCGCCACTGGCTCTGCTCAGAGCTCTGCGGAGGACTGCTGGCCACGATGATGCAATGACTATCCATTTCCTGGGTTCTTCAAATAACCTCAGTGACACTGAGGGCCTAGAGGCAGCCATACTTAATGCCTCATCTTTCAGTTTCTTTGACAAAGCCATCCACCACATAGTAACAGACAACGGTGAGGAACGAGGTGTGGTCCTTGCCCAAGATGGCACCACAGTCGCCCTTGGGCCCTTACTGCTAGGGATTGAAGCAGGACTGAAAGCCAGGGTGGAGGGAAAGCCCTCTGATGGGATCTTCTCTCTAACCTTGGGCAGGACACTTGGTCTGTCCTTCCTCAGCCTGCAGGACCTCCCACCATCTAATCGCCTGGGGCCAAATGGCTGCTGGGACAGTGTGCATCGCCCTAAAATGTTCAAGCTGTCTCAGCCCGCCACTCTGGCCACTGATGCTATGATTAATGGTGGTATGGACGGAGCCATACTTGGTGTAGACATCAGTGACCTCAATAGTTCCGAAGAGCCAAAGAGCCTAAGTAAAATTTTGAAAGACTACTACAGTTTTATCTTGCAGGAAGAGCATGATCTGGACACTCTGACCAGGCATGTAAGCCAAAAGCGAAGAGAGAGCTCTAGAGCACTGCTAGAGTCACGTGATCTTCATGGCGAGGTGATGAAGACGCTGGCATTGGTGTGGAAGCTGGAGATGACTGAATGGATTGCTTTCGACAATGAAATAGGGAAATCAGTGGAGGATGGACTGCATGAATTTGTGCACAACTACTGGGGTGAGATGTTCTGTTTACAATGTCACATTTTACTTAACCCGAATGGAAACAATCAAAGGACAGCACAGAGTTCAGCAAGACAACTCAGGGTTAGCGCTGACCTTCAGCTTGTGTTTGCTCTTCTCTCCTTAGACTGCCCTCCCATCATCCCTCGCTGTCAGTGGGGTGCAAAAGCTCACGAGAGTACACCCACCCCGCTGTCTCTGCCACTGCAGTTTCTGTATGTCCACCACACCTACGAACCGTCCGCACCCTGTTTATCCTTCACCCAGTGCTCTCGTGACATGAAGGCCATGCAGCGTTTCCACCAGGAGGACCGTGGCTGGGGAGACATAGGATACAGGTACTGTTCAGCCATTTCAAAAACATTGTTCGACATAGAGGTAGAGGCTTGATGACTCCCTCAATGGTAGATACAGTATGTTATAAAATAATATACATTTATTTAACATTTATGATGCAATAGTTTCACTAATAGTTAATCCAAATATAATAATCATAACAATAACCATATCTTTACAGTATATAAAGATGATTGTCCCAAAGGTAAACTTTAATCATTGTTTTCACCCCCTGGTGGCTATTTCTAGTATAGATCACAATCCCCTTCTTTTTTTCCGTATAATCTCTGTGTTCTCATTCCACTTACAGTTTTGTGGTGGGCTCCGATGGCTACGTCTATGAGGGCAGGGGATGGAAACACCTCGGCAGACACACCAGGGGGCACAATCACCTCGGCTATGGGGTGTCGATCATCGGTAACTACACTACAAGGCTTCCGTCACGTCATGCAGTGGACTTGTTGCGACATCGTCTGGTCAAATGTGCCATTGACGGAGGACGACTTAGGACAAATTTCACCATCCATGGCCACAGGCAGGTGGTGAACACCCTCTGCCCTGGAGATGCCTTCTTTTCAGAAATACGAAGCTGGGAACACTTTAAGGATTGACCGTTAATGAAATAAAATAAATAACGTACATTTGCTGTAAACCTGATACGAATGCACATTGCTACGTTCAAACTATAGTAAAAATGTTTGTTTTTTTAACAAAGCACATGAGAAGGTCTATCACTCATCCATCCATATAAATAACAGCAGGTTTCGATATATGTGTTAAATGCAAATTATGGAATTAATAATATGTAAAGATGTCGTGTATTTTATTTATTTGTCAATTAGACAAATGATTATTGGCAGTGGAATTATTCATTTAGTGGATATAGAGTGTGTGTCAGTATGCCCATGCCATAAAATTATACACAACTTCATTCTAATCGACATTCCAAGTAATTAAGGTGGTTATCGTGTTCATTTTGACAACGCTGGTATTTAAAGAAAATGTCCCCACAAGTATGGCTAAACATGGTAACACACGTACACTGCCCACGCCAATGGGTTTACTTGAAATCAGCTGCTTTCTCTGCAGCGGTGCTGCTGTTAATCATTGGGTTTGTACAGTAGGTGCTCTTAACTGATAAGCAGGACTGCCGCGTGTAAAACCTACTTTACATTCACTGTATATGTTATTGTAGCACTTGTTTGTTGTCCTGTGTTCTGATGAAGTCCAGTCACACAAACATATGAATCTCAGAAAAACTTTGCAGGTTTTTGAGCTGTATGAATGTCATTCTTCTGAGGTTGAACTCTCACCAGGGCAGCCACCCGGCCCAAAACAATAAAATACATGATGTGACGTAGTGTAGGACAATGTTTAACTCATGTAAGCCTGCAATAAAATAGGCTGACTGATTCCATTACTATATATATAGGTCACTGCTGATACACAGAAACGAGAACCCACCCTGTTTCAGCGGCCCTGATAATACAGGCAGTTTCCCATAAGTCACATGGTACCAAAAGAAACCAAAACAAACAAACAAAAAAAAAAAAAAAAAAACCTTCTTGCCTATAAATAAGATTTCTGCAGAGGGAGATAAGCGTTCGAAGACATATCTCTTGAGTGAGCTCTGAGGCTGTGGACAGTAAAGGCTTCAGTGAACTACGGTGACAATGGGAGGACGTGAGTGCAGTACTCTGGAAACTTTACTTTATAATATGTATCGTGAGTATATTGTGGGTTTTAGACGATAAAGAGTAATCTGAGGGGTCATTATAGATACCGAAAACTAACTGTGTGGATTATTGTCATTGAACCTCTTTAGTTATTTTAGAGTTGATCATTTGGCTAAAAAGTCAAAAGGTGTTTGCACTCAGGGCTATTATGGTGTGGACTGTTATGGTTGTTGTTGACAGCTGGTTATTATATTATTTTGAAAAATTCAAGATTATTATAACGCTGGTAATCTCATACGTTGCACACTTGTAGTTTTTTCATCTTCTGCTTTCACGACTTCCTCGACTTCCTCCTCCTCTTCAAATTCCTTTGGAAACATAAACAGGATACCTACTAGTGGAGCTTCCTGGAAGACTGCTCAACAGGACAAACTGGATTATAAGGGTATAGTAAATACTCACACCACAGTTACATGAAGTTAAAATTAGGGATGTCCAATAATATTGGCCGACCGATATTATCGGCCGATATTAGCATAATTATGTAATGTCTGTAAGAATCGTTATTAGTTTTTACCCCCATAATGAAAACACAATGACACAATGTCTGGAATAATTAGAGTCTAGAAAAAGGCCCTAAAATGTAGTAAAATTATTTCATTTCTATACTATATTTCACCAGGTGCAAAAGCTTCACAGACTCTGGCTGAGACCGACAGTGATAGGATGAAGAAGTACAGAGACAAAATCATCAGAGTTGCCAATGAGACCGGAATCCAACCGTGTCTTATTGCTGCCATCATCTCCAGAGAATCCAGAGCTGGAAAAGCTCTGAAAAATGGCTGGGGAGACTGGAGCCCAAAAAGACAGGCATGGAACGCCTGGGGACTGATGCAGGTGGAGTTTCACTCAAATGAAAGCTTTTCTTGTGATATAACAAAACAAAAAAAAAAAACTGAGTGTAAGTCGTCAACTCCTCAGGTGGATGTTAATCCAGAGGGTGGTGGACATACACCCAGAGGTGCCTGGGACAGTGAGGAACATATTCTCCAGGGCAAAGAAATATTAATAAGTTTTATTGGAAAAATCAGGAAGAAATTTCCCAAGTGGTCAAAAGAGCACCAACTAAAAGGTGTGTATTCACGAGTCACCCTGTACTTTTTTACTCACAAGCTTGTTTTACTGACAAAGTTCTCACATTTGTATGTTTTTGCAGGAGCCATCGCAGCCTACAATCAGGGGGATGGAAAAGTTCATTCTTTTGAAAATGTAGATGAAAATACAACAGGGAAGGATTACTCCAATGATGTTATTAGCAGAGCTTTGTGGTACCAAAGAAATGGTTATAAAAACTGAAGTGTTATGCGATCCTGTTTCCGTGTTTATAATAAGTAAGAGAAATCATGCAAAATTTGACTATTAACCATGTCAATTTTTTTTTTAATATTCTGCTTGAGCAGAATTATGAAAAGGTTTTTGTTTCACCAAAGCACCATCAACGCCTAGCATTGTCCTTAGGTGAGACGCACATTCTGCATCAGGCCTGCCTCAATCAGCGATTGGTCCATTGTCAAAATGCACGGCAAAAGTTTAAAAACAAACAACAACAACAACAACAACAAAATGTATCGGGGGGGGGGGGCGCTTAATGAATTTGTGAATCACAGTGTGAAAAGTGAATATGTTTGAATAAACCTGTACCTATTTGCATGAAAAAAAAAAGTTAGTTCCATGTAGGTAATTATGATTGTACTGGTCTGTCCTACTGTCTGTCTAATCAGGCTGTATGTGGCCCCTGAACCTAAATGAGTTTGACACCCCTGCTGTATGGCTACACTTTGTGGGATTAGGCACCATCTAGTGGTGAGTTAACTCTTGAGGTTTGAACATCATTCTCCTATCAATTACTCTGAAGCAACAAGGTGGCCTTCAGTTGTCAACCAATCAGTGCTGGGGAAAATGGCTGATTCTTGGATTATTTAGGTTTTTACCAGCTTTAACATTTCTTATGACATAAACAGTGGGATTTAACCAAATACATAGTAAATACAATTCATACCAAGAAAACTAAAAAAGGGGGAATTTCACCAATATGCAAGTAACACACGAAACATGGCCTGAAAAGTTCATAAAAAAAAGCATAAACAGTGGATTTCTGTCTCCACTCAGACTTGTCTTCAGACACCTGAAAGGGTTAAGTCCACTGTGTCCAGGTCACTTTACTGGTGCAGGTCCGTTCAGTGTGGACAGTGGTGAGGCTGTCAGTTCCTGTGTTTGCGGATGTGGGTGATGAGGTTGGAGCTCTGACTGAATGCTTTCCCACATATCTGACACACATGTGGCTTCTCTCCTGTCCACAGAAACACAGCATCAGCATTTTGGTACATACAGGAGAACAGCACCCCCGCCAGGTGCCTGTGTCCAACTGCTTCCTCTGATAATAAAAACCCGATAACGCAATGTCTGTGTTTTGCCAAATGATGTGTGACCTATAAATAGTTTAGGGGAAAACTGGCTGTATATAAAAGTGAAGCCACTAGATGGCAGCATTGCAGCTTTTCTTTTTTACTAATTTACCTTGATAATCACTGGATTGTATGCAGAATGCTGGTGCAAGCAACTCATACAGTAGTTTGGACAAATAAACTAAATATAAATATTTGGGGGGGGGGTGTAGTTTTAAATCAGGGAAGTCGGCAGTGCTAAACATTAAAATATGACAAAACTGTTCAAAACGTTTCTTTTTTTCAACTTGAATAAGTAATAATTGCGGAAACATTTGTTAATGTTACGGTGTAGTTACTTCTATACAGTCATCCAATTCTCAACCAGCCCTTTAAAAGGAAACAATATTGCTGATGTACCCCTCCCACACCCGGTTACACCCCTGCCCTAAGTGACGTATTGAACCGGTATCTGCCTCATCCCCATGCGTTTCATCTAAATTTGTCAGGTATATATTTAACAAGGAGGGTGAAAAAAAAAACCATGAACCCACCGGTGTGAATAAACGTGTGTTTCTTCATGTCGGACTTCTGGTGGAACCTTTTGCCGCAGTACTGGCAGGGAAAGGGCCTGGTGTCCGAGTGTATGAGCAGATGTGTGGACAAGGTGGAGGAGCGCTTGAACACTTTGCCGCACACCGCACAGTCAAATGTCCTGTCCTAACACAGCAGACGTCAGGGTCATACATCACATCTGTGAACGCTCTCGGAGAAGTCAGGTTAAAAATAAATGTGTTGCTGACCTTGACCCTGCAAGGTGACTGCGCAGGGTCCGTCCTGATGCATTTGATCACTGTTGACAGAGGAGCGCTGCTGCCGCGACTGCTGCAGGTGTGAGTCTTCAAACTAGACAGACACAAAAATATCTGCAGCCACAGGACGAACACAGAGTTAGCATGTGTGGAAGTTCTACAGTACAATACTAGGTCTTAGGTAAAGTAATATTATCGTTTACATGAATATGGTAATGCAGAGTATTACACTAGTGCCCGATGCTGTCTTTTTATAGAAAGAAAATCAACGTGAAAAAATAAAGACATATCAAATCACTGCCGTTAGTTCACACCACACCTTTTTCCTACAAGATTAAACCCACGGTGTTGTGCGTGTAATTTAGTGACAATGACTTTGCGACAAACAGGGGTGAGCTTTTCAAGGTTCAAGTGATAATGTCACAGCTGCACTTGTTTTGATATCTGATGTTATTGATTTCGATTAGTCATAAAATACAAACGTTGGTGTTAGTTCAATAATTATGAAATGAAATTTGTCGATTTTTTGCTGGGAAATGGGGGGCAGGTGGGGCTTGTTCAAAGTGGGGTAGGGAAACATAATATCAGATTAGATCAGATCGGATTGGATTAGATTAGATGGTAGATTAGAGACTGATTGAAAATATTGAGATCCAAAAATGACTTGAAATCACATCTTTGACTTAGTGATCCTGGATATAACTGGTCAGTAATGGAGGAGGCCATACTTGGTTGCACAGCTGACACTCCTGCCTCTCTTCAGTTGTTTTGGAGCAACTGCTATTCCTGGTCTTCCTCAAGGTCTCGGGGTCACGCCCAGGTGGTTTTGCTGAGCTCTCATTAGGTGTAGACGGTACGTCTGAAGTATTAGGACTGGAGCTGACACTCTCAGTGGGATTCGAACCGAAAGGAAAGCAAAACTCGGCAGCTCTACACTCTGAAATAAATAAAAATAAAAACAATTGATAATTTTCTGATTCTTATGCTTCGTTATTCACTATTAAACATGTGCTTCCTTCATCAAAAACTAACAAAAACTACTGCAGGACTAGTTTTATGTTGCTTTACCCACCATTAGACCAGGGAGCCAGTTGTACAGAAAGATTTGGCCGCAACACCGTTGTGGACTTGATGTTATTATTTTGTACGTCCGCCGCCGTTGAGCACTCGAGACATGAGTCATAGGACCCCAGACTGTTGTGCAGCGGCTTGAATGGTATTGCGTTCGACCCAGTACTTAGGTTTCCTGCTCTGGAGCGGTGGAGGTGGTGCAGCCCTCCTCTCTTCACCAAGAAAGAACGAGGCATCGTTCAGGAAAACTCGAGGAGGAGCGTTATCTGCGTGGTAGAGAAAAGAGAGGAAGAATTAAAAAAATGGTTTTAATGATGTGCATTAAAAAAACTCTTTGTTGTGGAGAAGAAAAACAACACACTCATGTTTAAACAAGAAAGTGACAGTGTTGTGCCCCTTTTTATTTTTTTGTAAAATTTGTTTTATAAAATCGGAGAACGACATAATCAGTATCAATCTATGCAAATGTAACACTTAATTCAGTTACCAGTTATCATTTAAAAAATAAAATGTGTTCTTTCTCTGGTTAGGACGACATGTTTCTTCGTTTCTCTGTTTTGTGACCATGACCTCAATGCAACACCTTGATGTGTCAGTGTTCACACGATGGCCAAAGGCAAGAAGTGTTGGAGACTTCAATGCAGCACAATGTTCACAGATACAAAGCGACGGCGTAAATAAAAAACACAGTGCTGTAAAGTTGAAATCAATAAAAAAAGTTTAAAATTAAACAACTATTTTTACAATGATCATAATGATGACAATTTTGTGGGTTTTTTTCTTACATTATTTCTGTTTTTCAACCAAAATTAGTATATTTTGTAATCCCTGAAATGAAGCTCAAGCATTCTAAAAAATGTGGTATTCATTTGTTGTTTTGATTTTTGACAGTGAGTTGAATGATAAAGTTTACACTGGCAGAGATTTCCTTCAGCTCAACTGTGCTGTTTCAAAGCTTTAATCCTTAAATATATATTAATTTTAAATGTTCCTTTTTCATGATGAAAATGATCATTTTCAGTCTCAGTTAATGTGCGTGTAACCACCGTATGTATGGAATTGTGTGGATGAACGTGTGTACTGTATTATATGTAATAGTGGTCCTGAAAACGATCCCACCTGTTGTTATCATTACTCAAAGCAGCGGTCCTCAACCACCGGGGGCAGGGACGAGTCACTGATGGAACTCTAAACTCTCAAAGATAATTCTCAGAAATAAATGAGCAGCATACTCACACGTCCTGTGTGCCTCTAACATGTCCTTCTTATCTACCCATCACAGGGGTCTTTTAACTCACACGAGGAACCGTAGCCAGGTGAGGCGGGTTCAGCGGGAGCCTGATGCGAGGCTCTGAGCTGCTTATATGCTGCCCTGAGGTTTAAGGTGCTGAGAACCAAAAGGACCAGGAAGTGTTTGTACTCTGGTGAAACAACCACAACGCTTCCTCACACACACACACACACACACTCACAGAGAGAGAGAGAGAGGGGGGGGAGGGGGTACACACACGTTGCAGTAACAGCCTGTGTAACCAGGGGATCAGTTTGGTTCAGACAGATGGAGCCGATATGAGAGGAAGAGGACGGAGCGCTGCCCTTTGAAAATTCTCCAGAAAGTGTCGACACACTGAGTTAACACATTTGTGTTTCAAAACAGATAAAAAAAAATGGTGTCTGGTGTTTCAGGTCCGCTTCCACAGTATATTATGAAACCATTCAAAGTGAGGGTGGCACAGCTTGACAAAGTGATAAGAGGTCAAAAAAAAAATCTCATCAAATGTTAATTCTCCCTTTCACTTTTCATCAACTTCTCAGCACACAGAACTTCTCACTCAAAGAGAAATATCAATCACAAATTCTACAACCGGACTATTCAAATAGTGGACCACATGCAGCACAAAAACAACCTAAGTGTGGGCCGTGGGCCACTCGGAGGTCATTTGATAAACGCAGAGGGAATCATATTTGGCATTGAATTAGAAATTCCAATACAATAGAGCAGACCATAAATGCACTCACTGTAAGCCAGGGACGGTAATCGACATTCAGTCACTCACTCTCACTACAGCGTATGAATTATGTCCATCATTTACTTGATTAAAGTCCTCAGATTCTTCATTCTTTTTATAAGAACGGCACAATGAAAAATAAGCTTTTTTTTATTCATTTAAATGTATTGAGTGTGAAATCTATGCCTGTTTAGTTGAAGACAACGTTGATATATTCACAGGAATTGAAGAAAGACACACACAGACCTCCATCAACAGCGATCAACTGCCTATGAAATAAAATGTATTATTATTATTATTACTATTTTATAATAGCCATCTGTTTTAAAAAAAAAAATTGTTGCCTAGTGGACAAATATTTAATTGTTTTGTCTATCGCTACACACTGATGAACAAAGAACAATTATTAGCAATAAATAAACACTTACTTTTCAGACCAATTTAGTTAATGGATAATTTTCCATGTCACACCTAACGAGCTGTCAGGAATCACCATGATACAGTATCAAATTAATAGGTAATATTGATACCTATTGATGATGTAACTGAAATCAATACTGGTTTTGGTCATACTGGTCAAATACTTAGCAACACGCAACCGAAAATGAATCACTGGTGTGGAAGATCAGCAGAGTTAGCGGTAAGCTAGGCAGAAACATTAACTTTGCATGAACTGGCCAGTAATATTAATATTACCACAGACTTCAGGCATGACCCAACTGAATTTAACTGATGGCATAACAGCCGGGTTCTACTGCATTCATTTCATAAGTGCTAATATTTCAACACTGCGCTGTGTTGTAAAACCTCTGTAGGATCCATCACAGCAACACGGTAATATCAATAACACGGTTGACTCCGGTGAGAAACCGCAACGTAGACTTTACATTGATGTGAGCAGCTGTAGCTAAGCTTAAGTTGGACGGATCATTTTCCAACCACGAGACTGAGGGTTCGATTCCAGCGGTGTGTGGATGCGTCCTTGGTGAAGACACCTAACTCCATAGTCGTCGCGCTCATGGACAACGTGCATCACATGTTCACCTGAAGCAGGTCCTGATGAACTCCCAACAGAAGAGCCTCAACAAAGGCATCCAGCGCAGCCACTCGTGCCGACTCGTACTGGTTACATCTGGTCTGGTCCGCGTGGGACCTCCTTTAATGTTTTGCAGTATTGTGCCTTGATTTCTATCCTTTGTAGATTGTGGACTATTCCTTTGTAGTATCAGAGCCACCTTCCTTACCTAGAGGAGACAGCAAGTAGGAGTTAAATAAGTAGGAGAAAGGGACGAATCTCAAAGGAAGTTAAATTCGTTGAGTGATGGGTATTTGTTGATAGTATAGAACTTAAAGTTCTTAAACCTTTTGACCTCCCAGAAGTCAACCACATACTTGGCGCCTCCAAGGGGCAGCCTGTTGCAGCACATCTGCGGATCATAAAGTTCATAAAATAAAAACTAAAAATTAAGAATGTATATCTCACCTGGGCCTTTAGTGGCGTCATGCGTGAACAAATCCACACCCTCATAGTTGTAAATGCAAGTCGCTACATGCTAGTTTGCTCTATTCGAATCATGCATTGAAGTAACAGAGCTTAAGAAGTGGGTATAAAAAAATGGAGATGGAAATGAGATTTACCAAAGTTGGATTTCAAACATTTCAACCTATAGTATAAATGCATATAAGAATTTGCAACACTGTCCATTAGCTGTTCTAACACCCAGGACACGTGACTAAAAGGTGTCAAAAGAAAACAACAAGTCTGTTTGTGCGGCAGGAGAGTGAGCTCTCAGGGTGAACAGAAAACAAGTCAAAGGTTTCCTCATGGCAGAGGCTGTCAGTGACTGACAGGGTGAACTACAGACGACCTGAACCCACAGTCACTGTGACTGACTGGTTATGGGTTTTGTTTCGAACCCAAAAAACTATTACATACATTTTGTAATGAAGCCTGTTAAGACACTATAAAATAATTTTTTAAAACACATTTCAACCCATGTAGACAGTGTGTGCAAATAACCTCTTATTTGCACACACTGTCGAAAAAACTTCAACTTCATGTCAGACGCCTGACTACGAGCCACCGTCAAGATGAACGGTAAAGACGAAAATCTGCATCCTCTGTAAAAAACAAACAAACATATAGTTAGTTATATATATATACATACATATATATACATATATACATATACATATATACATACATATATACATATTCATATATACATACATAACAACAAAACTACATTTATTCACATTTTTCCATATTCATAATTTCATTAATTTCATCATTTAGATGTAAAAAAACAAAACAAAACAGGTGCACTGCCATCTAACTGCTACAGTGATAAACATTCATCAGGTTGGATTCGGAACACAAACTCAACTTGTTTCGTCGACCCCAACCGAAGCACCGCTGACCTAACAACAACACTGACCACAGAAAAAAACAAAAACAAAAAAAAAACAACAAAACTGAGACTTAGAAAAAATTCAATGTCAAAGTTTATTTTGTATCATGTATAGGATACAGAACACTGAAATGTTTTTCCCCCTCCATCATACAGGACTTTATATTATATTTAATGTTATTTTATATGTTGGACGACGATATCAGCTGAACTGCCGGAGAAAAGAGAGAGTGTGGACAAAGTCGTCCTGACACTGTGGACATTTAAAAGCCGTCACTTGTACGGCAAAAACGGTAAATCTGAGAAGTCCTCAACCACAGACCAAAACACTCTCACACGTAGAGCTGCATCCGGTTCCCAGGCTGTTTGAGCATCAACCTGGTGATAGAGCGCAATCTCACCTTAATCTGTTAAAAGAACAAAAAAAGTGTGCTATTAAAGCTGCGAACGCTTTTAGCTGAAATGGCACGTACTGTTAAGGACTATTGTTGATTTATTTCAACAATGTTAAATAAAACAAACGCAGCTCTGGTGAATATGATGAATGGATGACAACCAGGTGACCTTGAACACTGACAGGTCATCAGAAGGGTGTCATCGGCGTAAATAGTGTCGTATTTTGAAGCCGGCGCCGTCGCTTGCCAGCAGTGTACTTGTGCGTTACTAAAAGGGAAGTAAGCAGCAACCAGAACAGCTTTTGGATCACAAAAATCTGTAGCAGGTTTTTGTGGTCACTGTAAAACCATGATGGCAACACAGTACAGCAGCGTTCTCAGGTCAAGACCCAGTTCAAACCCATCGTCCACACCTAAAATACAACAGAATCGTGTCGTAACACTTCCTTGATGTGTGTACTCACAACCGCACAGCGTTTAAAGACATTTAAATAATAACACGACATGAAGTGCAACGTTGAGTCGGTCGTGAAATGGCGTCAATTCCCTCCGCAGAAACTGACATCCCAGCCACACAGACAAGGGACAAGAAATGCCCTTCGTGCCAGGACGGAAGATAACGAAGAGTTATTTGGAAAATAATCCAGCCCAAACTGATGACCTCGTCAGTAATGTTCCATTTTTAGCATTTCCTCTCTTCCTTCGTCACATACAATTTGCAAATAACTCCATAGAATGAACTGCACGTGTTGTACAGTTGAATTCAGATACATTTTCTGTATTAGAGAAGAAGCAGAAGACGGCGTCAGGAAGGTTGAAGTAGTTTAGATTAGTTGATAACCAGATCCTTCTGAGAAGCAGAGAACATGTTTCCTCTCTATAGTGCAAAAATAGAGACACTTTCTCTCCATATAAAACACCCTGTCTGATACCACTCCACCGACAGATATAAGAAATATATCATCTGTGTTACCTTCAACCATCTGACTATATTTTCTCACTCAACGACACACACCGTCCGTTCATGACGACAGCCTTCTTCACGACACACCTACATTCATTCTCTCTCATAGTGAACTATTGTCTAACCAAAGTGGACATTTTTCACCTCGACTGTTTGTGTTAGATATTCAGAATGGACTGACCGAGGCGTCCGGCCACTGAGTGACTGAGTGCAGTTTGTGGCCAATGTTTCATAACAACTGGTTATCAGAGCACAATTCTGTGCTGAAAGCAAAAAAAAAAATGTGCGTCTTTAGTTCGCTTAGTGTTGATCAGTGAACAAATGGTCAAAACTGCAGCCTGTCCAGGGGGGAATATGTGAGCAGAAACCAGCAGCGGAGGAGAAAATAAGAAGTTATACTGTCTGATGTAAGCACTTTATCAACCAATAACAAAACTCACCCAGTGTATGATCATGTGATCATATGATTTTTCTTTTTTCTTTTTTGTCATTTAAACAGCTATCATGACAGTAGGGGCAGAAAGTTCCCATAATGGAGTGGTTACCAAAGTGGGGCCGGCGCCCCTCCCCTCGCCCCGGCCCAGGATCACAACATTATTTCCATGGTTCAATAAGAACAGGAGTTTTGTAGGAGTGTTTTAAATAAAGATGAGTAGAAACTTGAAGCGATGGCTGTGAATGTCTCAACATGTGGGGCGGGGGTGGAAGTTTGACTGCAGTCCTCTCTACAGAAGTGTCATGCTGTAGAAAAGGTTTGCGATCCGCTGACGTGGCGCATGAAACGTTCCTGTTCCTCGCCCTGTTTGTTTTCTTCTCAGGCTCAAAGAAAAGTCTGTTCCTCGGAACTCACACAGTACCGATTAAAGGCTAACGTGGTTTCAACCGGGGATAAATCAAAAGCACTTGTAATGACTTCAGAAAAAGACGGAAAAATAAACAACAAAAAATGAAAACTTAAATCATAGCAGCACATTTTAAAAAATCATGAAATATCCAGTGTCACCCAAAAACCTGCAGTCGACGGCATAACAATTGGCACAAAGAACGCTGTAGAAAGTTTGGCCTCTGTCGATATCTCTACGCTCCTACGAGTATCATACAGATATGTAAAAAAATAAAAATAAATTACAACGTACAGTATAAATAATTTAAAGGAAACAATTTGGCAATATTTGAATGTGTCCCTTCCCTTTCTGTGGGTTATACTGACTTTTTTTTTTTTCCTTCTCTGAAATTATCTTTGTATCCTCAACACGTCACCTGTGTTCCCTAAGGCAGTGAAGATGAAATGTTTCCTTCTACAGAAAGCCATACAGAGACAAAGTAAAATGGTGACCGTGTATTCAGCGGTCAACAGATCAGGTGAAGACCGGGAACACAGAGCAGTTAGAAGTCTAATTATTAGGTTTCAGGCAAAGATCTTTTTTTTTTTTTTTTTCCTGCTCCTCACGGTCACAGAATCAGGTCCCGTGGTTGATCTGCAGCAGTCTCAGTGTCTACGTATGTTGGGATGGATATGTATTGTCTTGCACAGTTATGCATGGATAGGAGGACGGGATCTACAGTAGGTCTTTGACAGGGTGTGGACGTTCTGGTGAACCAGGCTACACATAGTGATGATGAAAGGAGGTCCATCGATGCCACTGTGTTTGCATCAAGTACTTGAAATAGTGGAAAAGCTAAGGGGAGGGGGAGTGGAGTTGGGGGGGGGATTGGTTAATACAGATCCAGTTTTCAGCAGCAGTCCTGTCCTGTCCTGTCCTGTCCTGTACATATCTGTCTTCAGACTGTCTTCACGTCCAAACAAATCCCACAGTGTCTTCTTGGTCGCCTCCTCCGCGCCTCAGTTGTCCAGCCCCTCTGCACACACCATGCTGCCGTACAGCTGCTGCGGGTCCGGGTGTGTCCGCATGCGTTCGTCTGCCTCACTGTCCGTGCTGCCCTCGCTGTCCAGGCGGGCGGACTGGTGACACTGAGTGGACAGGGCGGGGTAGAGGGCGCTGGGAGGCAGCGGGCTGTGAAGGAGGTCGTCGTCAGAGCTCAGGTAGTCGACCTCTGCGGAGGCGGGACTCGCCAGGCAGAGGTCTGGGTAGTTGGAAGTGAGACCTCCGCCGCCGGTGACGCCGGAGCTGGAGGCCGACTTCTGTCCTCGTAACTGACGAATCTGAGGGCAGAGAAAGCAGAGGTTGGTTTAACTTGGAACTCACAGGATGTGAGTGACTCTTTTCTTTTGTTCATTGTTATTACCAGAGCTGTCAAACAGCATTCAAATGTTTAATCTGGTTAATCAAGGGTGGCTGTGAAGTAAACACGATAAATGAACACGATTAATCAAGAGAAATGGGCAATCCTTAGTTCAGGATGGTTCAAAGGATTTAACTTTAACTTCAATGACATGCAGAATTATGAATATAAATATATAAGGAGTAAGACTGGCCCTTTAAATAGCAAATTCAAAATTTTGTTCACTAATTTAAAAGAAAAACTAAAACACCTAAAAATAACATTTTTCAGGATTTTTTTTTTTTTACTAATAAAGAGTCAATGCTAACGTTTATACTGCTAACATTATAGGATTTTTTTGTTGATTGTATCAAAACAGCCTTTAATAAAATGTCAAATACCGTTCTGTCTCGTTGGCCTCATCAACTGAAGATAACGTTTCACATTTTACTGTTTGCTATGAGAATACAATCCCAGACAAGTGAATAAGAAAAAAAAGACACCAAAAACCAAATGTTGGGTTCAGAAAAAAAAGCAAAGCTACTAATCTGTATCCTGTTCATCATTTATGTAGAGTGTGTGTGCGTGTACCCAGGAAATGTGGTCTCTAGAATCAAATCAGAGTAATTTCCCCATCACCCAACAGAAAGACATAACAATAAAACCAGAGTCATATTTGGAGCCGGTGTCTTTGCATGTTTCAGTTTCATCAGTCATGTTTTGGTGGTTGCTCCTGCCTCGCACATACTCCAAACCTCGGCCTTTTGCATGCAAGTCTTGATGCACAGTTAGTCATGACAAATCTCAGAGGTTTCGGTTTTTCTGCACAAAGTCGGACAGCGAGCAGAGAGGTGGGGGAAACGGGGGGGTGGTGGTGGTTAACCAATGGAAATGTTGTGACAGTGTCCTCTGGTCTCTTAACTCGCTGCTGTTTGAACAGACGTCTGATTTCTCTCTTTTTTTCTTCTATATTACTTTGTACAACCGGTAAAAACTTTTATTTTATAAATAAAGTTCCAAACAGAAAGTTCATACAAGAGTCGTATGAAAACGAAATTTGAACCTTCCTCCTGGTTTGAAGGTTTAAACTGTGTGACTGAAACTAACTCACGGTCACACACAGCTACTCTCCGAATGAACAAACCCCAGAGTTTGTGCTTGTGAGAACTTGGTGACTTTACACTCGAACTAACTACAGAGTGGGCTTCAAACACCGTGATCAATCAGAGCCCAGTTTGTATCGTCATTCAGGAAGACATTGAGATTTGTTTGAAGCATCTTTTAGAAGAAACAGAACATTAAATGACTTTCTTATTGATAAAACAGCTCTATTGTTTTAACCTTGTATTAAAATGAATAAGAAATGGCTGTAACCCAGTGACAGATAAGATTTTTTGGTGTGAGCCGTGGGATTTTTTTCTAATGTGAAATATTTGCTGTGGTTGAAAAAAGGTTGGGAAACATTTTGTTGGGGTGTGTGCGTGCTCGTGTGTGAGGGAACCTCATTCTTCAGCTCAGCAATCTGATCCCGCAGTTGGTTAATGTATTGTTTGGAGTCGGAGTGGTTGAGCTGGCCCTGGATCAGCCCTTCCTCCTTCTGAAGAACAAATGTGAAACAGAAAGTTTGAGGGACAGAGAAAGTCCACGTAAAAACCAGTGAACTGAGAGAAACATTTGAATTCAACAGTTAGAGAAAAAAAAGAGACAAGACTAACACAACGACGGTTTAATTCATCACATTTAACTAAATTAAACTGTTTTTCCACTAAATTAGAAACATCGGTCCATGCTCTTGTTAATGCAATATTGAAAGACTGAATTCAGTTTTTCAATGACACAACAAGGAGACCACTTTAAATTTGATGCTTTTATTCTGAAAGCTACAGTTTATCTATGACTATTTTGCACCCAATCTGATATCGGGCAAAGAAACATCCCATAGGAAGTACGAAGTGCCAAGATCTTAGCGATAGCCAGCGCTACATGTAAGTTTTTCTTTTTTTAAAACAATGTCGTACCAGTATGCTTGAACCTTGAAACAAATTAAAATATAGCACCACCTACTGGCCAGGTAAGAAAATCATGCACGATGTTGATAAACACAAATTACTCCTTTCTCCAAAAATATGTTGAAAGATAATAGAATGGCACAGTAACACACCTGTATCTCAAGTTCTGCAATCTTCTGTCTAAGTTCAGCCACAGCAGCCATGCTGTCGGCCTCTCTCAGTCTCACTGCCATCACCTCCTCTTTACTCTGTGGGTGAGATGACAGTAGTGAGGGGCGGAGGTGGGGGTTCAAAGACAGAAACAGGAAAAAGAAAAAAGAAAAACAATGTCTGTGTTGCTGACAGCGTTGCTGTTGGAATGATGTTTTTTTTTCTCACCTTGCAGTCCGACTCTGTCTGCTTCCTCTTCATCTCGCTGAGTTGAGTCTGAAGAGCCTTGTTCTGATTGGTCAGCATCTGGAGTCGGTCCTGCAGTGCCGAGCGTTCCTGCTCGTGCCGACCGATCTGCTTACTGTGTATCTGGTTCTACAGTTGGGAAAGGAAAAGGTGGAGAGTGTTAGTGCAGCAACAAGCGGCAGTGCTTGTTAGCTCATTAGCAAACAAAGTCAAAAACGGAATTCTTACTCCTCCCTTTATTGCATTCATCATGGTCAAACATTATTGATGATTTTTAGAGTGTAAATATGAATGTGTTGGTGCTCATGCTAACTGTTAGCTCATTAGCAAACAAAGTTTTTAAGTTAAATATTTTTAGAGTGTAAATATGAATGTGTTTTAGTCCCTTCCCTGAAAGATTTCACAGATTGGTCCCATTTCCTGCATCTAGGAAAAAGTCGCTCTGCAATTAAAAATAGCTTCTTTTGCAGTTTGTCGTGGTTCACTGTGAGTTTCCAGTTCTCTAAATATACTTCAAATACTAGCAAAGAAAAATGCTGCAAATAAAGGGAGAATACGTGAATATATTGCACACTACTTATAGAGGAACCTCAGTGACCTGGCTGTCCAGCTGCAGAGATTTCAGCTTGACTTCTCGTAGCTCAGCCTGGGCCTGAGCCTCCCTCAGTCTCAGAGTCATCAGCTTGTCCTGCAGCTCATTCATGGCGTTCTTTTTCGGGGATTCCTTCCAGTGGCCGCCCCCGCCGCCTCGAGACATGTGATGCTGCAGAAACAGTGCACAGGCCTCAATTCCCTTCTGCAGTAAATGTGTGAAAGGTGAACACACACACACACACTTTTGTCCTTTTTACCTGCCAGCGTTGGTTGAGCTCGGTGACAGTTTCCTGCATCTCTCTGAAGGAGCTCAGTGTCTCCAGCTCCCTCAGCTTCATCTGCTTCACCTCCTCCTGCAGGACAGCCAGGTTGTTCTCATCAGGCAGACAACTGCTCCTCTGGATAGAAAACAAATTGTGTGATTTAAATTGTGTTGTGATTTAACGGCTGCTGCAACAGGAGCAGGAATCACCAGCTGATAAAAAATAGCCTTAGAAGTGCAGTGGCTCTGGAAAATCAGCGACAAACGCAGTTCTTCTCGTGTACAAAACCAATGCAAATGCTGATGTTTACAATAATAATAATAATATTTAATGATAACAAATGCATTGAAAACATTTTATAGCATCTTCTAGCGTCTTCTCCTATGTTTTCTTAAGATTATATTTTGAGTGTAATTTAAGTTTCTGTATGAATGAACATAAACTGATGTGATGAAGTGGGTGGATACAGGACTTTTTTTTTGTTTAAAAAAACTGAAATGAAACATCTGATCATTAACAAAAGTCCCCCATAAAACTGATACTACTACTTTGATTCATGTTTTCTTTTTTTTATCCTTAAGCTCACCTTCTCCAAGACCAGGACCTTGTCTTGCATTTCCTTCAGTGCTCCCAGCAGCTCAGCCTCTCGCAGCCTGGACTGTTCCAGCTCCGTCTGCAGACTGGTGACGAACTGTTCTGTGTACTGGAACAAACACAAACTAATTTGTTCGTGCTAATGACATGCCTGTTACATTTGTTGTAGTGTCATGTTTCTATAAAACGTTGTGTTGACTGGTTAGCCCGACCAGCAGGACTAGTGGTTGGTTCTCAGATCTACAACATGACAGCTTTATTACTGAGGCTTCACTGAACGGAAAACACAGAACACACTTTGCTTTTTTAGTTATATTTCAGAATCACATATTGTGTCATTTTTTGGCAGGTGATTTTGCTGCAGAGTAATATCAGAATGTAGAACACAGTCACTGTGGATTTTGATGTCACCACATCAAAGTGAGACTGCGATGGTGCATGTAGCGTGAGAGCAGCAGACTGAGGGAAAAGTAGTCAGTGCGTGTGAGAATGTGCATCAGAAAGAGAGCTAACTTGTCATTTCACCACCGTTATGTAGTAACCATAGAGAGACAGACATGTTGAGTTGAAGGTCATTTCAGGACACGACACAATGAGTTAACAATCCATAACATGACACAAAACAGCTGTACATAATAACCTATATATAACATAACCTATAAACATATATGTCATAATGTACCGTGTCATATCTTATCACATCATAACATATAATAACATTTTTTTACATAACATAACAGATACTGAATAAACAACATTCTTCTCAGTTTTTGTTTGGTCCCAGAATAAACCTCAATAACAGTTTTATATTTTAAACTCAATATCTTGGTTTAATAAAGTGTTCATAACAGTGTGGCACACAGTGGTGCAGTGTGTTTACCTGCTGCTGCTGCAGCTCCCTGATGGTGTCCTGTGCTTTCTCCAGGCTCTCGCTGGTCGTGCTGCACTGCTGCCTGACCACTGCCAGCTCCCGCTTGATCACGTAGTTTTCTTCTGCTTCCTGTGCCCTCGTCACCTGACCCTGAAACAGCAGATGTCAGGTCACTATCACGCTGTAGTGATACTTGGGAGTTCAGGTACATGACGAGGGATTTGAATACTCTACTATTTTTTCATCTTCTTTTTAAAATATAAAAATGTAGGGACTTGGAGTTTAGTTTTAGTTTAGTGAGTGATGAAGCATTATTGACAAAATATATAGTATTCTTTCCTGAATACTTTTTAAAAAGCTAAAAGTTTTTGATGTTTTTGTATAATTGGGTTGAGTTTGTTTTTTAGGAAGCTGATAATAAACACTTGGTTCATGGTCCTAATGTCGCCGTTACTTATAAGCTGATAATAAACACTTCATGGTCCTAATGTCGCCGTTACTTACCTCGTAATAAACTTTGTAACATTGACAAGTACACAAATTGTACCAGAATTACACAGATTAAGTATGCAACTGATAAAATGTCAACATCTGACAAATTAACAGGAGGACAAGCAGCTCAGTAACAAGTGTTATGAGTATCTTAATATAAAGTGTTAAAAAAAAAAAACAGTAATAAAACATTAGTGTGGATAAACTTTAACATGCCACATGCAGAGATTATCCAACATAAGGGATGACATGACACTCTTGTGGACCGTTCTCATGTATGACGTCAACATTTTCTTTTCATGCACGTCTGTGTGACTGCTGAGAGGTGGTGGGAAGAAGCAGTGCAGGAGAAAAGGAGGAGCCAGGAGGAGAAAAGTGGTTTGGAGTACTCTACCTGAATCAGTCTATCTGCCAGAGCAGCACTTTCCTACAACGCAACAAAGTAGAGGAAGAGGAGTGTGAAGAAGTAGAGGAGAGGAGAACAGAAAAGAGCAGGAAGGAAAACCACAGTAACATCCATAAAGAATTGAAGGAGAAGAAAAAACAGATTCAGTGACACAGAAGACAAAAAAGTTGATTGACAAGAAGAGGGAAAAAAGACAGAGAAAGATAAAAAATGACAGAGCTTTACGAAGCACAAGACGAGCAGAAAGAAAAACATCACAAGCATTTACACACAGACACACACACACACACACGTCTGCTTTTCCTGAGTTGTGAGGACATCACACAGACATTATGTATTCCCTAAACTCTTAATCATTACAGATGTAGACTTAATCTTAATCCCTACTCCAATTTTAACTCTATCTCTAACTCATAACGAAATCTTAATCCTCATAATAAAAGCATTCCTTCTATTGATCTGAGAAATGTTCAAAAAAGGTCACTTTACCAAAACAACAGCTACACCAAAACCACACACATCTACGTGTGCACACCTGCAGGTTAAAGCTTTCTCACAGTGACAGTGTTTGACAGATTTAAAAAAAAAAAAAACACAGCTAAAGTCCGGTTCTGCAGATTTACATTCAACTGATGTCACTTTAATAAAAGACTCACATTTGCATTTAAATAACCTGGAAAACCAGCCCATCTCTTACCTTCTCCAGTGTCTCAATCCTCTGCTTCAGCAGCCTGTTTTCTGTGCGTAACCTCTGTGTAGGGGAGAGGGAGAGAGACAGAGAGAGAGAGGGATATTTGCTGAGCAGTCTGCTCCTTCTACAATAATCACTGTAAATCAGAATTGTCTCCACTGCGTACAATTCACACCACAGAACGTAAACACACCTTAATTTCAATCTGCTCCTCCATTTCTTTGTTCTTGATGGTGGTGTACTCCTTTTCAAGTCTGGAGAGGAAAAACAGGGACTGATGATGTGATGTGACCAAACTCAAAAAAAGAAAAGAAAGGAAAGAAATCACCAAAATTCTATCTGATGTTTCCCTCTCTCTACTGACTAACATCCAATCAATTATCCTGACACCCAACACCACCAGACGTCAGGGTGCTTTGCTATGAAAGCTTCCGGTTCAGACAGAAATAAAAAAAGACTTTTCTTATTTTAGGATGAATCAGGTCAATCTTGTTGAGGCTACGCCAGCTTGTTAGTGAAGCTGTAAGCACTCTTACTTCTTCATCCTCTTGGGGTTGTATTTGACCTGATAGGCCCTGAGGATCAGCTTGTCGGGGCAGCTGTCAAACTGGTGTGGAATCACTTTCTGGAAATGCTGGGAGTCAGAGAATAAAAACAGACGTGAGGTTAGGAGAGGGCAGACTGAGCCAGACGCTCATTTAGATTTATTAGAGCTGCAGATTAAAACAGTGTAGTTGGTCTAATCTACATCATGTTATTACACAAGTCTATATGCATTAATCTTGCCTCTTCAACTACACAGGTAAATGTTCTATATATATATATATATACACAAACATGGATCCAGAATAACCAGACTTTGAAATTCTCTGTTTTCAGTAACAATATGCCAACACCGCACACATCTGCTCTTATTTTAGCCCATATTTAGCAGCCGGAACATGCTGCTAAATATGGAACAATCAAACACGGCATGTAAGAGTGGCAGTTGTGTTCTTTTAAATTCTCTTACTAGGTACTTTTGTACATTCAAAACCACCTCATGATGCGTCATGTGAATGTAGGAATAACAATATGTATAAAGGTATAAAGTGGATGATGTGGCTCAGTCAATATGGCTGTCATTACCTGTGACATTCCTTCCATGTCCAGTTGAATGAGGTCAGTCTGGTTGTACTGTAGGATGGCCAGACCCACGCGGAAGATAATCTCTAGACCCTGCAGGTCAGATTTTTACTGTTAATAAAAGTGGACTGGAAAATTCATTGTATCCAAGTATGAAATGCTAAGATAACCGTAAGTATATGTATATGTATGTATATCATTAGGGCTCCACTGAGTGGCGTGTCAGTAACAGGGGCGTTCAGGTAGCATAAGAAATGCGAGGAGCATTCAGGTACCATCGGAAATTTAAGAAATGTAAAAAAAAAAAAAAATACTCATGAGAAAAACAATTTATTGCATTTAAAAGGCTGCACTTACACATCATATATGCTTTAATATCATTACATTAGTGGTTGATTAGTCTCAAAATAATGTTGACAATGTTCATCAGCATTTATTTATGGGACAATATATGGTCCAGCATCCCAGGCCTAACCTGTAAGTTCTCACTTACCTCATACATGAAAATATCAAAGATGCGAGTAGCAACAGGCAGGGGGAGGAAGGTGAGGAAAAGGGTAAGAAACCAGGAGGAGGCATACATGGACGTGTGGAAACTCTGTGAGCGGAAGTGGACATTGAGTTCAGGAAGTTGCTCCTGAAAATAAACAAAAGAGGAAGTTTTATTTGTTTATGTTTTTATTTATGTATGTATGAATTAATGTATGTACTGCTGTGTGTTTTTAATGTGTGTAACGACAGTATCGAGATCCCACCTAATAATGTTAGATATACTGCCACTGCTGTGTGTTTTTAATGTGTGTAATGACAATATCGAGATCCTACCTAATAATGTTAGATATACTGCCACTTAGTGGACAAATGTGACAGTACAACTCTCCCTCTTTTGTACCTTTGTCTCTCATTCTTTCCTTCTTACCTGGAGCAGATATTCAAACTGGTAGATGCAGAGGCCGAGCTCAGCCATGGTGGGTTTGAACAGCTCTCTGAGGCGATACTCCTGCATCAGACGCACAAACACACAGAACGCCTCCTCCTCAGGCATCTGGGAAAGATTAGATGGGTGAGTCAGTACTGAAAATTAGTAGATACAAATTATAGGCACTTACACTGTATTGTTTATTAAACACTGATTACCACGCAGCGATTATTATCACCTACTTAAACCTGCTTGGACTAAGTGTCTCTAAATGTTTTTAAACGCAAAAAGAAATCTCAACGGACAGAAGACATTCAGGTAATGTCTCACATGGTTGTGATTCAACATTAATGGGTTTATCTGATAATTACCTGCATGAGCAGTAAGCCAACGATGAACGCGCTGCCCTGGCAGTAGCCCACTTCTCGATCCACCAGTGAATATGCCTGAAGACAAAAAAACCCCAAAACATTTCAATAAAAAACCCTGGGCTGCAGCATAACAAAAGCAGAAGTCCATTATTGTCCTAAATAGTACAGCTGCCAGGAAACTGGAATCTTTTGGAAATTAGTCATTGATCTTTTTCTGCGAACAAGTCTGTTGATGGTTCACACACTTCCTTGTTTGCCAACGGATTGTGTTTCGAAAAGGAAAAGACTGAAACCCAAACAGAATTATTCATTGACGCAGTGGAGATCACCTGTAGGCTCTTTACTGGATGAAGTAAAAGGACTTTTCAATCAATTGTTCTTTAGTGTAATGCTGAAAAACAAGAACATTTGAAACTTTAAACCAACCTTATTTTGTCTTTAGAGTACTATTCAAAGACCAGGCAAAGTGATCTACCTGCATCGAATATTCTCATCTGTACAAACTGAACATACTTAATATATACAATATATATTTTTGTTTGTAGTTTCTTTTGGAATTTCACAATTTATTACTCAAATAATGAATGCTATTTGTTTGTAAAGCAGACTTGTTACACCAAACATGAAACACATGAAACTGAGTTTAAACTCAGTTATTACCATGTGCACAGCTGGGTTCAACAAACCATGTAAAACTGGACAGTGAATGAAACACCCAGTGGTATACATCGGCGACAGCTGCATCTCTTCATGGCTTATTAAAGGCATCATCCACTGAAGATTAGACGACGTTGGTGAGTCAAAGCCTAACTGTCTTTGTCAGGTTGCTCACCTTCATGACATTGAAGAGGACTTCCTGTCCCAGGCTATCTTGACCTTTGAAAAACTCATGCTCGGGGTAGGTGCGAGCGATGTCTCTGCGGATGAGCTTCTCACATGGAGAGGACATTTTTAGCAGCTCAGAATACTGGTTCTTCACAGGCATGTCAGTAGCGTTACCCAGCAGCTGCCAGACGATGGCTCGGAAATGGTGAGGAATACCCTTCCTGATCAGCTCCTGAGGCAGGAAAGGGGTTTTAGGAGTTCAACAATATAGCCATTTTTAATTTGATTAATCAAAGGGTAGCTGTAGATTAATCATGGTTAATCCAGATAAATCAATGTTCTAAATATGACACCAAAACACTGTATATTTCTAGGCAAATAACAGCAGGTAGACACATGTGTTTCACACCTGTTTTTATGTGTGACTAACAAATGAGTGTCAATTGATGAAAATTTTGCTTCATAGAGTTGGTGGATTTCAGTCGTAACTGTGCACTGTGACGTAGAATGAGTCGAGAGCTTCTTTCAAAACTTTGGTGAAGTCGAAAGACTCACAGTCCATTTGCCGATTGCGTCAGTCAGTCTCAGCTGAAGGCTTACTTAATGCCTGGTGCTCAGTGAGGCAGGCCAGACAAAAGCGTGTGTCTGACCTGAAGGCGAAGACTCCACGAGTGCATGCCGGATATTGAGAGGATATTCTTAGCTGGAGGTGCTTCGGTAAAATTACATTTTCTTCCTTGTGTGTCGATACTCTATTTTTAAGGACCATATTTTGCTTTTCGTGACAGACATTCAGACTCTGTGCCAACAGTCATGTGTCTATAGTTCGCAGATGATCAGGATCATTGATTATGGCTGTATATTTCTTGCATCATCCATTGACAGTTCCCAGCCCACGCTCACCTTTAGGAGTTTGTCCTTCTTGCGTCTCCACTCCTCCCACTCGTTGACGATGCGGCCCCACAGGATCCATGTATCCTCCTCCAGGTGAGACAGGTTGGAGGAGGCCGAGGAGCTGGACACCAGTGAGGAACCGCTGTTGCGGCGTGAGCCACTCATGGAGCGCATGGATTTAGAATCCGCCTCCAGTAGCCTACATGAAGAGACCGTTGAGAAAAGGTTTAGTTTAAAAAAACATTATGGATGAAAAGGACACGTGGTCCCAGGGGACAGCACACTAGGATTAGGAGAGACACAGAAACTAAAATAGAAACAGGGTTCTAATGAGACGGGAGATGTTTTTAGTGCTAATGTTTCACATTTACTTTAGTTTGGATATTTTACACCAAAACTAAAACTATTAAAACCTGGCATTAAGGGCTGTCCTGAATGTGTCTACTGTGATGTGCTCCACACATGATGGAGCCTGTATTACAACACACACTTTTCTTCAGTCTTTGTTCTGACGATTTTTCTGAACAAAGCTAGTTTGCTGACTCCCAGGGAATTTTCTTTGTGGTAAATGGCACAGTTTTTGCAAACCTTTTTGTCAGCACTGTATTTGCAAAGCAAGCACACTGACAAATAATAAAAAAAAATCACACTTATACATACATACAGTATATAAGGCCAGTTAAACTAATATAATCTTCAATCAGAGTTATCACAGTGTGGCTGTAAATAAGCATGAATAATCATGACTGAGGCCCAGACAAATTTAGTGCTTTTTTTTTTTTTTAAGAAATGCTCCTGCTTTTTCTCCTCACATATCGACACAGTGTGTGTAATTAAAATGCCATTCATTCTATACATAGGTCTATCCATCAGGCAGCCCCTTATCTCACCTGTTCTGTTCCTCCAGTTTGGCCAACAGCTCCAGTTCATCAGGACTCAGGTTCTCTGAGTCTGCTGGAGAGGCTGCTGGTGCGGACAACACTGCATCATGGGAAGATGAGTCTGGGCTGAGCACCGGGCTGCCCGTTGACGAGGGATCTGCATCCATCCCAGGTGGGGAACAAGAGCAGTCGAGATGGGAGAAGGCCCCAACTGAGTCCTCTCTTTCTGGGCTGCTGCTGGGTAGAGACATGTTGGTGGTGATGTGGCTGGATGTGACAAGAGTAAGAAAGTCTCTTAGTTGGCCTCTGTCCTCAGTCAAACTTTCTCGTGTCCGTCCTGACTGGCTGTTAAGCCAGTGTGATCAGAGCTCTTTGAACCTGCAGAGAAACAAAACTAAATTAAACAACTGACACCAGATTAAACTGTACTGACCAAAAAAAGAAAGTCAGCAAAACCAACAAAAAAACTCACTGTGTACAGATACTTGATTGGTTGATAATTTCATAATTAATTAATTTAATTCATTTTTATTTTTTTAACACGAATGTGGTGACATTAATATACAGAACAATGTTTTCTAGCAAACCAAATTTAAGAATTCTAGTACTATTGTAGAGTTTAAATATTCATGCCAATTTATTCAAACCCTGAACTAAACATCATGAAGTCAACGTGCATGCAAAGCAGCCAAAGGAGTGGACCAGAGACTATACTCTAACCTATAATAAGATGCCAATAATGCTGCTCTCCACCCTGGCTCAAATAACTGCCTTAAAGGAGTGGCCCTTAGTCACTGTAATGACATCATCCATGATATCAACAGCATTATGGTCTGTTACTACAGTCACACTCCACAACAACAACAGAGAGGTGTTTGTTCACATGGAGATAGATGGCTCCCAGTAACGCCCCGCAAAGAAACAAAAGTGCTGCAGTGACCTTTAAGGCAGAGGGTGTGTGACGTACAGGGAGAGTCATAACGTCTGCGTCACAACCAAAATAACAAATACACAAAAAAACACACACTTGTATTTTTTATGGTTAATAGACAATTACTGTAATGTCAACAGCAGTAAATTACTGGCAACAGCCAAGGGTAAGTGCTGATAGGACAGACCGTAGGAGTGAGAGCCACACTTTGCACAGTTGGAGGAAGTCTTGGACTGAGATCCAAAGACCATTAGCACGAAGGTTTAAAACTGTCATTAATTATTTTAGAATCTGTACAGCCAAATTAATAATAGTAATAAAATTAGTGTGCTCACAAATAACACAAACACCAAGAATTAAATCACAAATTAAATATTTGCACCAATTGCAGCGATGGGTTTGACAAACAACTGCACAAAAATGTATCATAAAAGTAATTTATTATTAAGGATGGCACCTCATTAATAGTAGTAAAGTAAAATAAGTTTTTTTTAATTTAGTATAAATGAGTAGATTCACACATTTCCAGAGTCACGTGTCCATCAGACTCAAACCTCATCCCACCATGTGTGTATTAAGTGGAAAACGATTCATAACAAATACATTACTCAAAGAAACGGAAGTTACTGATATAAGATATGTGTTATCCTCATGACAGCCAATGAGTGTGGAGATACGTCAGGAGTCACACGGTGTTGAAACGCTCAAGGCACTGGGAAAATAAGAAAAGCTATGAATTCTTCTTCTGTTTCCTCTTGACTGTGTTTTTACTGTGGAACATAAATGTGAAAAAAAGATACATTTTGTGTGACTACGGTTTTGTATTACTGGGAATTTTGTATAGTGTTTATACCAGGCACCTCTGTCTGCAGCACAACATTTGACATTGTTTTCACTGTTATACAAACACGTATATGAAGATTTTAGCGTATATTTAATATATTCTAGGTGGAATAAACCACTTGTGCTGAAGAAATAAAACTAATTTAAAAAAAGCTAAAAAAAAATCTTATCCTGTTGACAGATGAAAGATATTTTGAGAAACATATCTTGCAATGTAAGGGTATGACATCAATAAGCAATAAGTCAACAAAAAAAAGGTAAATACTTCATTTTATGAATTGTCTTGCAATGTGGGGGTATGACAACAATAAGCAATAAGTCAACAAAAGGTAAATACTTCATTTTATGAATTGGATGGAAGACAATCATTTTAAAGCCTTTACATTAACAGAGTTGAGTCACAAACATAAACATCAAAACCAAAAGAGCAGTAAGACAGCATACAGCAGCGGAGAGGAGTAAGAAAAACAGTCTGATGAGGAAGCACGCTGCACGGACAAGGACAGGAGACAAGGAGCACATTCATGGACAGAGACCAGGCGGATCAAAAGAGCCATTAACAAGCCAAGACCAATCGCATTTGTACAACGACACGGGCAGAACAGAGTTGTTTATAATGTTTTTCAATACTACAAGCTTATAAAGATTTTCTGATGCATGGTTCTTACTGAAGATAATTTAATTTAAGCGAGAAGTGCAGCATTTCCTAGAAGACTGACATTGTCTGTCTGCTTTTTCCTAACAACATTTAAAAGATAGAAACACAAGCTGCTCCGTGAGTCACATTTTTTCCCTCCGTCCAAGCAGTGACGTGAGCTGAGCTCTATTATGACAACATTAGCATTATTATCAGATACTGTGATCTTTCATAAAAGGTATACAATAGAACTAATAAGGACCATTATATCAGCCACATGCAGCCGTTGGGGGATGTTTTCATTGTTGTCTACATTTGGTCAATTACTACAGATTCTATGTTCCACTTCATATTCACAGTCACGGGGTTGAATATACATGGTTAGTTAAGAAAGCTGGAGGAAACGTCATATGAGATCATTGTATTCTGTATGAAGAACACAAGATGTTCAGAAGTTCCATGCATTTACACAAAGTGTGTTGGCACATCTTTTCAATGCACTCGTTTTCTTTGAAAACTTGTTACCATTTGAGGCAGTGATAGGATCAGGTTTATCTGTGGAGCTTTATTAAATGCAAAAACAGAAGATATTTTACTTCCTCTCCTCATGTTGCTCTAATGTTAACGGTTAAGGTTAGTCAAAACAAAACAAACTCTGAGTCAAGACCTCCAATCTTAAAGTCCAGGTTAAAGTCACTGAAACCACAGTGAAGTACATGGCCTGTGGTTTTTCATAAGAAAAAAGTCCCCAGGTTTGAAGTTCAGGTTCTGAATTATCAGTGTCACCAGTTAAGATCTTAGCATCTTGGAGTAGAACAAAAATGGCTGAATTTTTACCTTGAAAACATTTCAGTGGCAAAACACAACACGCTTTGACAGAAGTCACAAACGGTCTGGAAATAAAAACCTGTACAATTGGATTGGACGCATGAAAAACACACAATGGCGACGATGACGAGGACAGAAGTAGACAATGACAGCAGGTTTATTGAGTTGCTGAATTCTTTTGTAATCCTCTGATGTGTCACAAGTGAAGCCTAGCACGTAATGGAACTATTGTTATGTCTTTGTAGTATTTGTTGTAGTACATGGGAATAATGCGGGCATTTGTCAGCATGTTATCGTCTGGAGAAACTATTGTCGAAAGATGGGGGAAAATTTACACTTTTACATTCGTTTATTCTTTGTATGCCGACATAGATAATCGTAGTACTGCGTCCAATCTCCGCCTAGAGAAGCATTGTCTCTCTGAGCTGTCACTGTCTTGGAACAGACAATGCTTTTGTTTTCTCGTTTACCATCCCAACACACACAAACACTAACTCAGACACCAACATGTCCTCTTTGCTCCCAACCCAGCTCTCCTTTCAATACTGTAGCTGCTTTTGTACATTTGTGTAACTGTACAACTGACTGATCCTGAAGTAAAACTTCAAGCTTCAATCCCTGAAGTCCAAATAAAAGATGAAACGTGCATTTCCCCTTCACATAACTTGGTCCAAGGAAATTGTGAGTTACTGTGTTGGGAAAAAGGCTCCAAACAAGGTAATAAAACCACTGATTATCATTTAATGAAAAAGAACCCCTCAAGAAAATATAACTGATCTTATCTCCCTCCCTCTTCTCCTGCCAGTGCGTTCGGCATCTTGCCCTCGAGCACATTTTTGCTTTCGTCATGGGCAACCAGTTTGTTAATCTGTAACAGTTAACCTCTCTGTTATTCCAACTTAAGAGCTCATGTTCGGCCGCTGACACGTAGACTCTCCATCTCCACACCAGGTTTCGACTGTACACGTTGTTGTTGTGACAGACTTTTTTGATGCAAAATGTCCACTGACAAAAAAAAAAAAAAAGAAAAAAAAAAGTTGTTTATCTAGTATTTGCAAAAAATCCACAAACGTCTGACAACTAACTCATTGTTTGATCAGTCAAAAGTGTTTATATTGTTATTTAAAGTTTTATAACAGTAAACAATCATTGTTGATTGTGTTTTTAATTGTACAAGTCCTTCAACCAATCAGGGCGACATGTCCTGAAAACTAGAGTTCCTTCTGCTACTACTTACAGCAGTGGAAACACGGCTATCAGCAGCCATAATAGCAGTGCAAAAAGCAGTTGTCAATACAGTAAAGCTGACATATTGACAGGTTAAACACACTCCACACAGAGCAAATGGGTCTTGATGTGTAAAGTACAAACCAATCAATTGTTGTACAGTGGGAGCTAGCTTTTAAATGATTCCACAGTTTGTCAGCAAGTACCGCAAAATACATTTACTTGAGTTCTTTACTTTTTAAAAGGGTCAACTGACAACTTCAACGTCCACTCTGAGTTGTGGATCAAACAAACAAATAAAAAAACAACAACAAATATTTTAAAGTACTATAAATAACTATAGGTAGAATTACGGTACTACAGTATGTTTGCATATTTTGTTGCAGTATTACAGTGTAGCGTTATTGGTTATTATTCTCGTGGGTAAAAGATTACTACACATGACAGCTGCTGCTGGATTATTCTTTAGTGACTTTGACAGACTCTGCACCGATGACGAATGTTCATGCCTCTCCGTTGGGGGAATGTTTTACTCATTAGCTTGAAAACAACATCAGACTACAGTGATGCCATTCTGCTCTTTGAACAACTCTCATGCACAGGCTGCAGAGTGTAAATTATTGAGATGCAATTACTGAATGTAATGTGTGTGTGACCTGCGGCAGATGCTTTCTGAGTTTTGTCCAATGAGGACTTGACATTGACCCTGGGTGAGGGCCTGACACACTCAGAGGCCAAGCTCTGTGATAACGAACTTACTCTGCTCTCAATATTTAATTCCCAATTACTTTTCTAAAGAGTATGCATCACAGTCAGATGAAATGTTGCTGTAGCTGTCAGTATGACAACCTAACAACCTAATAACAGTTTTATTTTTTTTCTGCCGCCAGCTTCTCAGTGCTTTACCTAACAACTGTATGACAACCTAACAATTCTGTTTTATTTTTTTCTGCCTCCAGCTTCTCAGTGCTTTACCTAACAACCTACAACTGGAACACCAATCATTACAGGAAAAACATCCACAAACAAACAGGGTGCAGCCATAGGGACACAACCACTGATGATTATTATGTTAACATAATGAAGACCATGTTTCCCTGCTGCAGTGCATCATCCGGTTATTACATGGGAGTGCTGCAACAAACAATGAACATGAGTCAAAGCATTTGATACACCGTTGTTGTTATTACCACGAAACAGGTTCACTCAGAAGGGATGGAGGAGAAATCAGCCAGAGGGATATCAAAGAAATGCTGATTTTAATAGAAGGATCCAGTTTTTATATCTCTAAATCCCAAAGGTAACAGACAGTGGGTCGGTGTTAGCATAAAACACATTCTGTTTTAATGTAAAAATATACACGGTAATTCATACTTGAGCAAATCAAATAGCATAACTAATCGTTTTAAGGATTTGTTAAACAAATATTGTTAACATATCATGTGACCACAGTCTCAGTGTAACACGCCTGACAATCAGAATTTGGTTAGCAAACAAATACAAGGTTTCTGCAGATTCAGGGTGAACATTTGAGGCTCACAAGAACAATAGGGAGGGGAGGGGGACGTGCTGCAGGCACGGGGAGCTTGACCCGTGGAAACCTGGTCATCGAACTGCCCACTGTTTCCATATGTCAGCAATAAAAATGACATGCAACACAGTGTATAGGTCGGCACAAAACCCAAAGCCGTCCGCCTAGGTCATCAGTCATCTCACTCACTGCACACAGCCATTAAGTGACTATTGTTTGCAGCGACCAGACACTTTTCAGAAACCTCGCATGTGAGCCCAAAGGCCTAAATATATAAACTTGTTCAATTTTGCTGAAATTAAAGTTCTTGGCTCTTGCACTGAAACCGTCCCATATGTCTTACTACTATTAGCACGATCCAGTCTTTAAAGTGAACTCTAACAAATCGACTTTTGGTGTTTCTTTAGCTACAGAAAGAAATTGCAGCAGCAGCAGGCCATGACCCGGATGGCTTAAACCTGAAATCTAGAGAGCTTTCAAAATGTGATCATTTGAGCCTAAATGTTTCTCCCTAAACAACATAACCACACAGCTGCACACAGACAAATAGGTGTGTAAGAACAGCTGATACTGATGTAACAGTATCAGCTGGTGCAACAGCAACTGTTTTATTGATGAGCTATAGTAATGGACTCATCTAAAGTAGGAAAGATGGACACTCTACATATTCTCTCTCCGTTGCTTTTCAAAACCTACAGTGGTAGAAGTAGAATAATGTATGCTAAAGATAAGGTTAGCTGAAACCAATGGGGCGTTCTCCCATGTCACACAAAGTGTGTGTGTAGTCCTTTGCACAGATCAGATAAAGAAGTTTCAAGGCTGCAGTACCTAAAACAAGGTCACCTGCAGGAAGTGAGAATCCGATACCCGTTTTCTTGACGGCACAGTGGTTTCAGACCTAGGCCTGGAGGCATTTATATTGTATCTGAAATAAAAATCTGATGGATCCATTATTCTGTGGCGCATGCCTTTAGTCGTGAGGAATTTAAGCCATAGTTACAGTGAAAAGAAGAAAATAATGAAATACTCCATTATACCTCTCTGTCTTTCTTCCTCCCCACACCAACCCCTGTAATTCCAGTGGGAGCTCATTTGGTGACAGTGGGATTCTTAATCCTTTAACGTCACAGTACAATAACTATGTCAGTTCCCTACATTTTATCTCACTTGGGAGGTAAAAATTATATGTCTATGGCCTACATTCTAAGCAGACACTCGTCTTACTCTGACAGTATTCAGTACTAGATCTTCAGGTTTACAGTACCGTTGGTACCCAGTACTTTGATTTACCAATACGATGTGTTGGTCATGCATGAATACTACAACAGTTTAGGATCAATACAATGTTGTGAACCACTGATTTATTGCTGTCCATTTATTGTCCCATAATGCAATGTCTCCAGTACAGGCTATCTAGATGACATCTGTTGAACCATGGCTGCCCTGTAAGGGGCAAACGCATCAAGGAGGACTCTGTCTTGTTTTCTGTAATTTCCCAGCTAGGGATCAATAAAGTATCTATCTAAGGGTACCTTTGGAAATATTGTATTATAAGATGAAAAAGCAACATTACAAATCAGTCAGTCAGTATGTTAGTGTGTGGATTTTGGTGGAAGTCTGAGTGGTTTTACAACACATTTACAACTTGAACTATGGAGTATGGAAGAATGTATCACCATGTAAACTTTGCCGAGCTGCACCAGGCAGGAGGAAGGAGCATAATCACAAGGACACATTTTCATAAAGTTACCCTACTGACTTTCTTATGTCAGTCACATGCCTTTGCTTGCTTAAGGTTTTGAATGTTTTCAATAACTCGATGAATGTTGACTTTGTTGATAATGAGAACAAAAACAGATGTTTTTCTCCAGCTGGTCTTGTTAGGGCTGTGTACAAACATTCATTACATTGAGAGACTAAAACCTTGTTTTAACACTAAACTCAAGAGATCAACTAAAACCTTGTTTTAACACTAAACTCTTATTTGGTTGATGTTCCACCTCAGTAATACCCTAACGACAATTCACAACCTCATCAAATTAGTCAAAAATATAATCAAATCTCTCGAGTTGTGTCCTTAATGTGATTAATGATCCTTTAAAAGTCTATGTTTATCACCGTAGATGACTAGAGGTTACAACACACAAACATTGCCGCTAGCCTGCATCCACCAATCCACCACATAAAGACAGTGGTGTGTGAGAGATGGCTAAGACTCCCGTAATCCCTCCCATACATGAGTATCTTATTTAATCCTATTGACTAGCATATTCCAACATGACAGCTCGTTATCTCGGTCAGACCTGACCTAAGGACTATGACTGGTGAGCCATAGGCCTGCGTGCTCTGCAGTCGACTTCGGGCTCGGGGGGATGGATGCTAGGATGGATGGATAAACGTGTGTGACCAAAATGACACATCACCCCCTTCTTGTATGTGGCAACAAATGATACACAACATAGTGACGGTTTGGTAATGGCATGGGGAATGAGTACTGGATGCGGACGAAACAGTGCCAGCAGCAACGACAGCAATAGCAGTAGCACGTTGCTTTCGTGAGAATAAGAATAAATGAAAAGGCCGTGTCTCCGTTGGAATTTACCACTGACATGAATGTAGCAAGACCTGTGAAGCCGCGGGTTACGATTGAGCTCCAATCACCGGGAAACGCTTCACAAATAGACACATTTAAATTCCATCTCTAAAAATAAACCTCTCGCATAAACAAACGAACGAAGGCACGCAAAAAGGCTTACCTGGACTCCTTTCCCATAATCGGAGCGGCGTGTTGTTGAAGGCTCCGACTCTGCCTCGTCTGCGGTAAATGTCAAACGTGTTGTTTAGCAGCTCATTAAAATGTTAATAGACTGAGCACAAGCACAGAGATGCAGCGCCATCCTCCTGCCACCGTTCAACCGGGAAACCAGCACCGCGTCGAACCGCACCGCTGCTCCCGAACCGAGACCTAGTAAGCAGGAAATGCTTAAAAAGGTAGCGAAACCAGGGGTCCAGGAAAACAAGGTTTCAGCAGATGTCCGCTGTTATGACCATGACAGCCGCGACCTGTAGCCTGCCATTTACCAGGGATATAAGAGGAAAGCTACGGATAGCCGCATCAGTTGGGAGGAGATCTCACAGAATGGCGTTTCTATGCTTTCTGCTGAGCACGGCCTACGACTCGCCAATCAGATAACAGAATAGAGATAATTGACATGTCATCTACCAATGGCGTACCAAGAACTACGACATTTTTGTCTTCGAGTAGCAGCACAACACAGAAAACCAGTAAGAATAAAGCTTTATTCTGCGAGAAGGCGGAACCAGCAGGTGTGATTTGGTGGCGATCAAAATCTTATATTATTCTTATTCTTATTCTTATTCTTATTCTTATTCTTATTCTTATTCTTATTCTTATTCTTATTATGAATATATGTATAAAATACCAGTAGATTGAGATCCAAACGGAATACTTCTTAAAAATAAAATAGTATTACCCCTAGCCTAGAAGAAATTAAAAAGATAATTAAAACATGCAATACCCTTTTTTTTACCTCTTAGAATAATTTTAAAAACGTTTTAAAATCTAAATGTACATATTTGTTATACTAATGCTACATATAAATAAACCTTCCATCCATTCCATTGATTGTTCAGAGCCAAAGGAAAGGGAGGAACAGAAACTTTCAGATGCTCAATGTGATGAGGGCTTGAGGTATTGATTAGATTCTTCAATGATTAATGCATCAGGTGTTCTTTTGATGAATCACTCGTACTACGTCCTATCTTGAGGTCACTACAAGAGAAAGACAAAAGTACTGGCCTTTTTCTTAATAGCTAAGCTGTTTCTTAAGCACCCCAAGATTAAATTGTCTTCATGCACAGTTTTACTGGTGTAAGATCATTCGTTTTCACGTTTATATGAAACATTGCAAATACCATATTACTATTTTTACTATGTTATATAATGGAGTGTCGTTTCTCCAAATATTGGCAACATCACCTACGCTAAACATTTCTTGTTTTGTATCACCTGACCTGAACTTTAAACGTGAGTACGAAAAAACTAGAACAACAGAAAAATGCAAACAACATCAAAAACTGATATCAGGTGCAGAAGATAGTAAATATGAGTAAAACATTGTTCATACTGAAAAGGCTACATATCCGGCGAAGGAACATGATAGAATAACGTTTAGATTATTGGTAATAAAATATTTTCATCTCACATTTTATTTTTATTTATTTATACTAGTGTAACAACATCAACACGCCACCGTAGTTTGCCTAATTTTCTGTCTCAGTAAGCGATTTTTTTTTTCAAGCTGTACTTGAACGCGTCCTACATGTGTATTACCTGGTGCAGGGAATACGCACTAGTTCACCTCGCTCTTACAACGCATACGGATACTAGAAGGACATAAACCAATCCAGTAAGATATAATTAGAATCAAACTAACTAAAAAATGTTGATTTTTCTTCATGTGGGTAACATTTTCAACAAATACTTGATAGTACAAAGATTAACCCGTGCGTTCGCCGTTAGCCCCTCTAGCTTATTCGCTAGCCGCATAAACATTAACCTCATTGTAATGCAACTTTGTGTCAGTTAAACAGTCGTTTGGCTATTTATTAATTTAAAAAAATAGTTGTACTGTTATACCCTGGCGAAATTACGTGTTGGGTATAGTGGTTGTTTTTGCAGGAAAAACTGCTAAACTAATGCGTATGTGTTTTTTTTTTATCAGTTAGCGCTTAGCTTACTTGCTAGCTTATGAATGAATGAATGAGAAGAGACGGTCTTCGGTTAAATGAGTACTCTGTCCGTACTTTGTCACATAGACACAGAACACACACACACGGCTATAGTTCTTTATGTAATTTCATCTTTTAGTTCTTCCATATTAAACAAAATAATATTTTTCACACGTGGCCTGCTAAAATCACCCGAGTTACGGTCGTCACTTTATACATTTTGGAGTTTTTAAATAAGTCAGTGAAGATTATATTCATAAAACAGACGAGTCTGTTTATTTTACTGATGGGAGTTGTGGATGAGTGGTTTTAAATCCTGAGATGCTACTATTGAATGATAGTATCATGTTACCGTACTTTTACAAATGGGATGGACAGAGTGGCTACTACAGGTGATGAGACGGTCAGAAACGAGCTTTAGCACTAATGTGTGTTGTCTGTAACAGATGGCTGACAATGATGAGCTTCTGGACTATGAGGAGGATGACGAGCCTCAGGGAGTTACTGATAGTGGTACCTCTGCAAACAAGAAAGAGGTAAAGGGTTCCTATGTATCCATCCACAGTTCAGGCTTCAGAGATTTTCTTCTCAAACCAGAGCTGCTTCGTGCCATTGTTGACTGCGGTTTTGAGCATCCCTCCGAAGGTAAATGGTTATTTGTTTTTGAAGAACACTGATTTAATTACCTTTCTAAAATAAGATTTACGCATTTCCAAAATGGCTGAGTCGTTTTACATTATTCTTTATTTTAATCCACAGTCCAGCATGAGTGTATTCCTCAGGCTATCCTGGGCATGGATATCCTGTGTCAGGCCAAGTCTGGTATGGGAAAGACAGCAGTGTTTGTACTGGCAACTCTGCAGCAGATAGAACCTGTTGATGGTCAGGTAAGTTGTGTATTGCTGCATCTACAGCAGAAAGTAGACTTGGGAAAAATTGTTTAATCTTGCTGATCCCCACTGATAGTGAGTTTGACTTCAATGTCTCATATAGCATTTTCTGTTGATGTCAGGTGTCTGTCCTTGTGATGTGCCACACACGAGAGTTGGCCTTCCAGATCAGCAAGGAGTATGAACGATTCTCAAAGTACATGCCCAGTGTCAAGGTGTCAGTGTTCTTTGGTGGCATGGCGATCAAGAACGATGAGGACGTCCTGAAGAACAACTGTCCACACATCGTCGTGGGAACACCAGGACGTACTCTAGCCCTCATCCGCAACAAGAATCTCAGTGTGAAGAACATTAAACACTTTGTGCTGGACGAGTGTGATAAGATGTTAGAACAGCTGGGTGAGTCAAAGGAACTGAAACTGCACTTTGTTTAAATTAGATATTAAGTTGCCTAAGATAATAATACGTTTATCATATTTTCAGTTGTTTAATGCAAAGAAACATGCAGATCCTTCATTAGGAACATTTCTCTTCTTTTTTTTAAATCCACAGATATGAGGCGTGATGTCCAGGAGATCTTCAGACTGACACCCCACGAGAAGCAGGTCATGATGTTCAGTGCAACACTCAGCAAGGAGATTCGACCCGTCTGCCGCAAGTTTATGCAGGACGTATGTTCAAAACCATCATGTTTCAATTCATACAACAATCCATATGACAGCTACTACTGCTTTAAAACAAAAGGAATACTTGACGTAGTTAACCTTTTTTGTTAATCCTCTCGTAGCTTTGCCCACTTGTGGCTGTCAATGTCATAAGTGTCCATATCAGAGAGGGACAGTAATCCTCCTTGACACATTTGACTTATCAGGACAGACAACCTGCCTGGTTAGGCTTAAGTGGAGGAGAACAGCTTTAGTTAGACATATGAGAATAATTCCATATTAAGAGCAAAGTGACTTTGTGAAGGGACATTTTTTGCCACCTGGGGATTTCCATTGTCCTTTCATATGCCTGTTGTGTCTGTGACAAAAAATACATTGCTTTTTATAACCCATCTACACACAGCCAATGGAGGTTTTTGTGGACGATGAGACCAAGCTGACACTTCACGGCCTGCAGCAGTATTACTGCAAGTTAAAGGACAGCGAGAAGAACCGAAAGTTGTTTGACTTGCTGGATGTTCTTGAATTTAACCAGGTATGTTTTGAAGCAAAGTTACATAAATTAATTTTGGGCCAAATGTAAATAATATCTTTTTGGCAGGAGAATTCAGTTTGTCCTTCAGGGGAGACAATACTGCAAACTCCAGTCATCTAATTACTGTGTAACTTTTTCTGTTAGGTTGTAATCTTTGTGAAGTCGGTGCATCGCTGTGTGGCCTTGTCACAGCTGCTGGTGGAGCAGAACTTCCCTGCTATTTCCATTCACCGGGGGATGTCACAGGAAGAGAGGTTTGACATTTGTTTTTGTTGATCTGTTTTTCATTGAAAACTTAAAATTGATAATTGTTTTCTTGCTTTTGTATTTCCTAGGAGCTATACAACAGAGCAAATAAAATAAACAAATATTAAATATATATATATCAAGTGTCAGTAAGGTCAAACAATTTGCTTTTAGACTAGTTTTCAGGAAAACACTAAAATGTAGTTTTGTCTGAAATTCATAGTGCATAATAGGTCTTCACAGCACATTCAAATATTGCCAGTTATATTTCTTCCTTTCGTTGCTCATTCCTTTTTCAGATTATCCCGATATCAGCAGTTCAAAGACTTCCAGAGACGGATCTTGGTTGCAACAAACCTCTTTGGGCGAGGCATGGACATCGAGCGGGTTAACATCGTCTTCAACTATGACATGCCGGAGGATTCTGACACATACCTTCACAGGGTCAGTTAAGTCATGTTTATTAGGGGATGTGCACATTTGTATCTCATTTCCAAAGCAAATAAAGATAAATTACAGCCATCTGCTGCCAAATCAACAAACCAGTTGATTTATTTGTAAAGAAATCAAATAAATAAGAAATCTGAATCTATTTGAGGAAGTTATTAGTAAATCATTTGTCAGAAACCTTCATTGTCATCTTAAACAGTTAAATGCTAATAATTATGTGCAATTACTGTTTCCTTTGTATAAAGTGTTCTTTGTTTTTCTTACCATCTCAGGTGGCCCGTGCTGGCAGGTTTGGGACCAAGGGTCTGGCCATCACTTTTGTGTCAGATGAAACGGATGCCAAGACCCTGAACGAGGTCCAAGACCGCTTTGAGGTTAATGTAGCTGAGCTACCAGAGGAGATCGACATTTCCTCCTACAGTAAGTTTTTGTTTCTTACAGTCCTTAAAAACAATATTTGTTCAGACTGCAATAATTTTTTGCCTCAACTAATGGACCCTCATCTTTCTTCTTTCCTCTGTGCAGTTGAACAGTCCAGATGAGTGTGAAGTATCTTCTCAGTGAGGATTGCCTTAAATTCTCTGTCACTACAATTTGGTGAAGAGAAAAAGGAGCTTAACATTTTATTTGAAATTTCCACCTCCTGTATTTGTTGGCACGCTCACTAAGATTAAACATTTCTTTTTATGTTTGTGCAGGATGCTTGTTTTAGTCTTCTTGTAAAATCTTTTTTTTGGTTGTTAAAATAATAAACTTTTATACTCAATGTGATGCCGTTGAAGTTACCTAATTTTGCACTGTAACTATGCCAGATGTTCTAAACAGAAACTGTCGTCGCAAGCTGTAGGTCATTCTTGTCACCAGCAGGGGGTGCTGGTATCACACTTTAAATCCAACTAATTTCTCCCTGCAGGAGTTGTCGAATAAAAACTTTTGTCTAATAAAGTTGTCCAAAAATCTAAAGACAGCTATACTACAGTGTCTAAATAGATAAATATCACTGGAATACAACTTTGGATCAAAAATTAAGACCCAATGTGACCCAGAAATATAACAATTAACTCACCTTTCCAAGCACTCCAATGAACCATTTAAGTTTTTGAAAACGTCTGATTTTACTCCAGCCCCTGCTGCTAACACACATTCTAGTTGCACTGTCATTTAACAATTTCTTATCAAGCAAACTTGTTGCAAGTTGTCAAGTTTTAGATGTTTATGACAATATATCAAAGACGCAGTGCAGTGTGTATTCATGTTTATGACATGCTGACTTGGAATTAAAGTTATTTTAAAAAAATAATACATGTCTACAGTTTACTTCATACATTAGAACTGATGAAGTTACAATTTGCTGCCTCTATATTTGTTAGACAGTACACTGATGTCTATGTTCTATAGTGTCAAAGTGCATCATTGCTCTGGTAGAATTAGAATGATCTGAGGATTTAAATAACTAAGTCAACATCCGGACCAGTAATGTGTCCGATAAGTCCAGGTGTCCTTCAGGGCATTGTTTTTTTTTATGTCCCACGTCTGTTTAAACAAGAGTGGGTTAGAGTACAATCCACTTTGGTCATACATTATATTAAAGCTTGCCTTCATGTCTACAAAATGAACTGAGGCGGTCCTTTCAGTCTGCAGTCTGTGTAGACTAGAAGGTGCCTGTGGTCTTCACTCATTTAAAGCCACATAATAAAAATGTGGCCCCTCGTCTTGCAGCACGTACCTTCATCATGAACATGAGGCGTTGCAACAGGGCAGGCAACTCAGGCAATTGCCTAGGGCCCCGAGCTGGAAGGGGACCCAAGAGACTGACGGCTGACATTGGTCTACAGTGGACCAATGTCAGCCGTCAGGAGGGCCTCCATGGTGCCGGTTGCCTAGGGACCCCAGGGTGTCTAAAAGCGCCCCTGATCATGAAGTATGACCTGGTCACATTACTATCAAAATGCAAGTCTTCAGTACTAGTCTATGAACTTGTGTGTGTCACCGTACATCCAGTGCTGTGAGGGGAGGGCCACGTCATTGAGGTGCTCACAGTCTTCACTGCATTTGCATGACTGAATGAACATAACTGACTTCTGCAAACGCTCTCCATCCTGGCAGACGAAAGTCACCGGTACTGTGCGTGAGTGGCGTGGAGAGCAACAGCGTCCATTTTTGCACACCCCACAGTAGGTGGGCCGGTAGAGGCGGACGCTCGCACATTCTCCGTAGAACAAATGGATGGGCTTTGGAGCCTTCTGGGTTGGAGAACACTTCTTCTCTTTCTGTTGAGGGTTAATAAAAACAAAGTCATGATTAGATTCTGATTGTGGGACTTTAGTTGTCATCGTTGCGCCCATCCACACAACCAACCTAAGCAAACAAGGACAAACTCTAAAGATGGACCTGAAGACCAGAGCTTTAGACAGAAGATCATGAAATGTTGAGGAGCTTGAGAGATTCTCCAAAAATCTTAGGAATTTTATTAATATTTTTGGAAAACAAATTTATTTTTAGATCAGTGGCCCTTAGATGCTAGCCCATGATCTGCAGCTGACCCATGAGCCACATATTTGTTTACTGTGAGCTGAACACGAGGAACGTTTGCTTAACAAATGATATGGTTATTGATACATCAATGTAAGTGTTTGAATTCCCGAGACCCTTGATTTACCTTGGTCCTTTGAGTCTTTGTGAAGATTTTGTTTTTCTTTGTTCTACTTGAGTATTTATTTGAATTTCTGTCAAATTCAAAATGGTGGGTTAGGGACATTTTGTTGCCAATCATAATAGCAATAAAATGCCAACAACCCACCTTTGACTGCTATAAAATGTCTTTGTGGACTTTTAAGATTTGTATTTGAGCACACATGACTTAGGTCCATGTAAGGTTCTGGTCTCATTCTTTAAAAAAATAAAAATAAAAATAAAACTTTCACTTGTCTTGGAACGAAAGTCTTTGCGTCAGTAGAGCGGGAACAAGACCTCTGTGTGTGTGCCCAACATGAGGGATTAATATAGACACTCCACTTCTCTGCTCTCTACAAACACATATGGGGCACAGCTATGGACAGTTGCTTGGCAGGAAGGCCGGGCTGAGGGACTATATTTAAATAGGCTTCTGCTTGTCACAAAACACAGCTGAGTAAATCAGCACTGCCCAGTTCCCACTGGATCTGGAACTTCCAGAAAATACTGCACTGTTAATCTCTGTTCTCAGCCTGGGACAACAACTGGATCAAGATGTTTATGACATCAACATTATAATTTCTCAAAACAAGATTCTTTTATTTTGTATTCTTTGAGTCACATAATGGATGTTTTTCATGTCCCGTCATTTAGGTGAGAAGAATTTAAAGGATCAGATAAGACGGAGTTGTTTTTTGTTTCCCACACACGCGAAGATAAGAGACAAATTGATACGTGTTATCATGAGTTATGCATTCATACTGTGCGTGATATCATACTGTCTTTGAAGTGATAAAGACGACTGACCTATGCTCTTTATTTTCTCTTTCAGTTCATGTTAACTGTGGTCCACTTTACCTTGGCGGGGATGGTCAGACCGCGGCACGGCCGGATGTTGCAGATCCTCGTCTCTCTCTCCAGCTTACACTCTGGGTTCCTGTTGGTGACTCGAGATGAAACGCCCATCCCGCAGCTACGAGAGCACGGGGACCACTCTGTCACCTGCACCGGACATTTCCTTTTCTTCACATGGTTCCAGGCTTCATGTGAAGGTAAAGTTGAGAACATGAATAATTATGTGCATTTGGTGAATTTTGGTATTTTTAATTCAGAAAATAACACTTATTTGTTATATAAGCCGTCTACACTCCATCTTGCATCCTCTCACCTCGCAGGTGTTTGAAGCCAGGTTCACTCTCCCAGTCATTAAACTTAACATCAGAAAGCTTGTTGGTCAGAAGCAGATTGTTTTCATGTTGCTGAGGTCCTGGGTGGATGTTAGCTCTTGGCAGGTGGCGGTGAGGTGGAGGTGGAGGCGGCTGTGACGACAGGTAAAGTATGAAAAGACGGTGATTCAACCGTTTTGTGTACAACAAATATGATGCAATATAAGATATATTTTCCTTCAAGATTTTTAACATTTGGCCTTTGGATGTGAATCAGAAGTGATGCATTTGAAGAAATTTGAATTGAACACATGTGACGTGTATTGATCTGTGTGTATTTTTGTAGGTTATTTCATCACTACAGATTATATTTTTGGAGAATGAAATGTTTTATGTGAACAGTAGCTTGTGAAATACAAAACCCATATGTAGTAGATGGACGGACAGACGGATGGACAGGAAACACACCTGATGTTTAGGTAGGCGGGGCCATGAGCCCTTACTGCAGTCCACACTGAAGCAGCACTGGCCAGGTTTCCTGACCAGCTGAGGGTATGGGCAGGAAGACGATGCTGGCGGCAGCTTGTTGTTGCAGAGCGGAGCACAGCCGACAGCACCGTCGATGCAGGTACACTGGTGTTTACAGCCAGCACGAAAACTCTCACCGTTCTGGTAGATCCTGCCATTGTACTCACATGACCGTCCTTCAGATTTAGCTGCGCACACACACACGCACACACAAATAAGCTTGTTATTCAAACAACTTGTAAATGAAGGTCAGTCAAATGTACACAAATGATTTGATTTGCATGTGTTTTGCACGGAGCAGACGACAACAATGCGTCTGCACACTGAAGACATCCTTCTGCTCGCCTTCTTTCAAGCTGAACAAACACAGTGATGCCACATCACAGCATCGAACACAGGACCACCGAGACTGAAAGGTCAGTGAAAATATGGAGACAGGAAAAAGTAGACTCCTTGTCTCCAATGCAGGGAAGAACCAGCTATTCATAGTAGGCGGGACATTACTGGCATGGTGAACAAGTGTATTTTTATCTCTGTCACCATCATAAAACTACTACTTATTCAAATAACCCTGTTCTCTACCTGGGTGGGACACTCAAGTGTGATACTCAGTTACTCAACTAGGCAGTTTGTTTTTTGCCATCTTTTAATATAAAGAGTAATATAAAATAAAACAATATTCATCCTTTATTGACTGATTATTCATTTGCAGTATTGCAGGGGGCGCTGGAGCACATCCAGAAGAGGTATGTCCTGGACAGTTTGCCAGTTAAACACAGGGCCACATATAGAAACAAACAACATGGTGCATTTACAACCTGATCCTCCAATCTTTATATTTTTGGGGCTGTTTGAAAAAACCAGAGAACCTGAAGAAAACCAACACACAAAGTGTTCTGACAGCATAAAACATGACACATATATAGTCATTTTTAAAAATGCATGGCCACTGCTACATATTACACATTATGATTATGAGTGTCCACACCACCTTGGAAGCTTCCCTCCTCTCCTCTGGTTCTTTTGAATTTTTTTTTTTTATGATAAATGCTATTTCTAAAGGGTTAGAGAGTCAAGAGGAGAGATTTGGGGTGGCTTTACTTAGCTACACAAACAACACTAGGTCCATTTTCACTTCATAAAAATACACACTGCCATTATCACTTTACTTAGCTACACAAACAATACTAGGTCCATTTTCATTTCATAAAAATACACACTGCCATTATCATTTCTTGCCCTCTTCTCCCTCTTCTCCCTCACCTCGACAGATGCCCCAGGCCATGGTCACATCGTTGCCATAATTGCACTCCAGCCCTTTGTGGTGGTCACATGGTGTCGTGGGGCTGCAGTCCTGGTTGAGCTGTGCAGCACACACTTTGCAGCATCCGCATTGATCAAGCACTGCGCTAACCCCTGCAGGGCAAGAAAGAGATTCTGAGGGGCAGTTACACACTGCTGGGCAGCTAGCAGTCACCTGCAGGGATCAAACAGAGAGTGGCAGAGTGAGAACCACTTTTTATATATTTGTGTTCAGAAAACTCAACAAACAGACTGAACAATCTGACAGAGGTCATAATGACCACAGTTTTATATTCATTTTCTAAATCTGTGTTACATTGTTAGCCCGTTTGGCTCAGAATGCTCTGAAATTTGGCTTTACATGAAGTCAAGTTCCTGTCACCCCTAAAAGTCTAGACGGCTTGAACTTTGCACGCAGTCCGCTGCTACCTGACGATTGGAGTCACGACATAGCGCCTGAGTATACTTGTTCTAGGAATCAACGCGTCACTGTGCCCTAAAACAGTAGGCATGAGTAGACATGCTTGTTACCGGGAAGAAAAAGGGAACATCAGAAGTGTATTTAAAAACACACAGGTGTTAAGTCACGCCAATCAAAGCTTGAGCTTCATGTAGACAAACACCTTTGTTTTTGCACAAATATATTTCAAATTTTGCTCAAGGTTCTTTATCTGTCAACATTGAAGTATTGTTACTTTACACCTCATTACGTTTTATAGTCAGACAGATTACTTGCTTATTTATTTTTTTTAATAGTCGCTGGCGTTTATATTCATATGAATCATATTTATGAGGCTCTCGGAAGTCTTGTTCAAAGAGTTTTAAAGTTCAACACATATTGTGGTTCCCATCTGGGAAGATTAGAACCATGGCACATGTCCAGTACAATAACCGTGGTCAGTAAAACCATGCAGCAGCAGACGAGACATTAAATACAACAACAACAAAAAGCAGAGAAACACGAGAACTCCCTAATAACTTTTAAATGCATTGACTTTGTTTTAATTTCAATACTTTAGTTAAATTATTATTATTATAATTTTAGTACACAATATGTGGGTCTTACCTGCGTGATGACGGCTGTTGTCAGTATAGTTAGGTAAACCATTAACGCCATAGTAATCGCGTAAAAACGTTTCCGTAGCAATACGAACCACTACAGCTTCAAACCTGAACCAAAAGAAAACATAAATATCACAATGTTACTACAATTAAATGAATTTCACACCGACTTTGCCTCTACTATCGGAGTGTAGTCCTTTTTGTTATATTGGCATGGTTTACAGTCGCCTTTTATACTGAGAGCACGGTAGAACCCCGCCCCGTTAAAACTTGCAGCCAATCACGGCTTAGGTAGCAGCTCAACTCGTCTTCCCAGTGAAGGCGGCTTGCTGATTGGCGGGCGTGTTCTGGTATGAATGCGGCCATTCATAAAAACCGTTGAACCTAAGTGTATTTATTTTATGGTTACAAATTAAAATCAAGCAGCTCGTTTTAAGTCACACTGTGGTTTTCTGGTTTTTGTGTCCGCCATTCTCCTAAGGCTGAGTAAATATACTCAGCTGGGGCAGCGGCACGCTAAAGACCTCCACCTTTGCAGAGAGGAGAGAAAGGGGAGGTGAGGAATTCCCTCTGTTTTTACAGACCGGTGTGGCTGCTAGCGCAGAACATTATGGAAAAAAAAAAGAAGTAAAAACCAGAGGTCTTTGTCACAGAAAGAGACTTTAATTGTTAATTACGGTGCCTGCTAAGTTGTTTTTGCTAAGTTTTGTCAACTAAGGCTCCCCCTTCCTCCCTTTTTTCTATTTTTCTCTTTCTTTGTCTGACTTTATTGGCTTCATTTAAATTCAGGCAGCCCACCTCACTTTGGGACTATTATTTCTAGCCTCATGGTGCTGACATGGGAACGATGATGATATGATCACTGGGAGAGGATGGTGGAGCGGAGGGTGAAGGCAGGATTGTTGTTTTTACAGTGCTGGCCTCCTCCTCCACCTCCTTCTCGGCTGTCTTCCTTTTCAACCACAGCTTTATGGTTTTCAGCCACACCTGTCCTGACACACAGGAGCGCCTTTGATGAAAGAAACGTGATACACCTGGTTTCACAGTTATTCTCGCTATTAATGTCCGTACTTGCAGAGTTCTGGCTCAGACTGAGAGAAGACCAAACATCTCACACGGTTTCCCAATTGGACTGAGGGGCTGGGAAATGTGTGCTTGGGAATAATTTAAACACAACGCCCTTTCAGGGTGTAATAATCAGGATCAGACTTGGAATTAGGTGTTTGTCAGAACTTTTTTAACCTGCTGTTTGTGTCTTATTTTTAAACTTTTACACTGCACTTCTTTTGAATGTTAATTTAGTTTGATAATTGATTTATTAAATGTAGGAACACAACCGTTTGTTATGTCGTGGTTTGAAGGGAATCAAACATCTGGACATCGGGTCAGAAAACGAGCCACCTTCTTGGGTAGAATATAGTGGATCACAAATATTAATCTAACAAGACATTCATAATTAAATTTGTCTAAACTGACAAATGTAATCAAAATTAATTAAACAGAAATTATTAGCCTGAGCTAATTCAAACTTACGATCAGCCGTAGTCACGTAGTTTTACTGCTTTTATTTATATTACCTCTGTTGTTTCCTCTTATGTCTCCTATTGTTTTTGTCTTTTTGTTGTTGCACAACACTTTGGTATCCCCTCCCTCCCCCCACTCCCCCATGTTCTATAAATAAACTGAACTTTGATGAGGACATGTTTTGGATTGTTTGTTTTTTGGGGGGACGGGGGTGGGGGGGGATTCCTATGTGCAAATTCAGACCATTCAGATTATTCTCATACATTGGGATCTGCGCATACAGTATGTGAATGCACCATTGATGCTGTGGCTTATATTGATATTTCAGGGAGACATGCTGAGACCGTGTATGATTTGTCAACACAAACTTGTTACCTCCCTGCCCTAAGCCAAATATTTCTTCTATACCTTAATTTTTATGTTGGCAATAACAACATATTATAGTTAGCTTTATATCTTTATATCTGCTGAGCAGACATATAAATGTGTTGTGGCACACAAGTGAAGAACAACTTCCTCAATTACACAACACAGATATAACAATCATAAATCATAATAAACCTGACCTGTGAACGGCCCAACTTCCTCCCACGGCATTCAGAAAATCTAATTATCTGGTTTTTATTTTTTTCCTTCCTAACATTCATCTCCGTTTGGCCCGACTCGTGTTTCACTGAGAAAACACACACCCGACGACGTGGTCTGAAGTCATGACTCAATTTGAAAAAGGAAACCACCTCGGGAAGCTGTCACTCATGGCTCTAATGGTGTGACCTATAAGAGAGAAAGTCACGGCCCATCTATTTTAATCCACAGCTGGTCACGGTGTGGAGATTTCTGCAAAGTTTTGTGGCTGCTTCTGATTCCAGCCTGGCCAATGATGCTCAACCGTCCCAGGAGCCAAAGACTGAGATGTAAACCCAGCCTCGCGTGATAAAGAGGACCTAACATTTTCAATAGAACTCATCGATTTGGACATGTTTTACGGTTATTAATTCCATGTCTGCATTGCGTAATGACTAGTTTTTACTAATGTTTTTTTTTTTTTTCAATTAAACAAAACTTTGCCCAATACTGGCCAACAGTTGTGTTATAATTAGATTCTTATAAAAAGAAAAGAGTCATTCTGTTTGGAGGTCATTGACACTTAGCCCTTTGTTTTGAAAGGTAGTGCTCTGGGAATTCCTGGATGAAAGAAATTCACTAAGACACAATGACCTCGCTGTGCTTCGTTTGACCTCAAAAAATGGATACAGCGCAATTCAACAAAAGTGTCTTTAGACCGACCTAGTGAACCAATCCACCGATTTGGAAGAGTGGCGTTTGACCCAAAGCCCTCTGACCTCTGCTGTTAATAAAGTTCTTTAAAACAATAAGGAGCACTGAAAAAAGGGTACGTTTCTATCTTTGCAGATGACGAGGCCTGTCGTTTAGACCCAGCAAATCAGAAGTAGAGTAGCAACCCTGCCTGTCAAGTAGCAGATTAAATCGAAATATAAACATCTCTGTGACGTGGACTGACTCTGCTGGTCTACATGCCAATGTGTCAATGGTTCATATGTTATCATTTACACACCCTGCTGGAAATATTTTTGTTTTTGTTCGGATTTGGCATCATGAAAAACTAGAGAGTGATATAAACGGTACGGGGAAAACTGTGGCAACAGAAGAGAAACGTCGTCTAAGGAAAACAGTTCTGCAGTTCTGCTAGAGCTCTGCTGTTTCACTGCCATTAGAGAAGAACACTGAAATAGGAAGTTTATACTAAAAAAGGTCGATAAGAGCTTTTTGGAAAAGAAAAGTAAAAGAAGGAGAAAGGAAAGATACAGTGAGAAGAAGGAGGGGCTGACAGGTGGCTCCTGCTACCACAGTTTGTTTTTTCAAGGGGAGGAGTGGATAAATGCTCTGCTGCCTGGTCTGGTCTGGTCTGGTCTAGGCTGGTATGATGGGGTCTGGTAGCCTGACAGTATGGAATGCTACACAAAAGCAGACTAGTATTTGGGATTTTGAACCATACCACTATAAAGGCCACATGAACCAGATGACACAATAGAATAACCTGGGAGTTTAACAATGAACAATAAATACATTTGGACATATGTAAAGAAATACATGTTACACAATATAATACCAGTGTTGTTGGAATGGAATGAAGAGTTGTGGAGAAAAAAAAAAAAAATGTGTTGTTGGAATAAAATGAAGAGTTGTGGAGAAAAAAAAAAACACATCATGAGTGGAAAAAATGAGGTCCAGAATGTGGGCCAGTGGTGGTGATGTGCTTTGTTCTGCAGCACCATCACAAGAAAAAGTATAAAAGAACCTCAATCTAGATGAAAATGACCACAATATGGTCAAAAGTTAAAAAATACTGAGTTTGGGTTTGTGTTGTGATGATCTTTAAATACTAGATATGCCAGGTACTTTACAGACCAAGTAGAGTACAGATACTTTTGCACCTTTATTGTAAATACTGTAGGGCAACAGTGGAGGCAGTATTACAATAACATTACACTATTTCTTACGTGTTATACCTTTTATTTCCTTCACAAAATGTGACTTGCCCGTTCGGGGCCTTTTAACACTGTCGACTGCTTCATCTCAAGTAATTGTACCACTAATGAATGACAGACTACCTTAAAATTCCACTAGGCGGAGACAAACTCCACCATTTGAAAAATGTAACTTGGACTGAATAGTGACCTGGTTGCCAGGTCCTAAAACGAATCGTATTTCAACTTAGCTGTTGTCATTATTGGTTTATGACCATGATTTACACTGAATTGAAATGCATTTCTAAACTGACTGTTTGAATCTGTCAATATAATCACACAAACACACATGCACACCCAAAGGTGTATAGCATAACATGCTGCATTGCATTGAATTGTATCACATCGTGCCATATATCACATGGTATCTCTCCTGACTATTTTCACTCATGTCCCCTCCATTGCTCCCTTTTTCTTTCTTTCTCCCAAGTCTCTCCCCAAGTGTCCCCTGTCCTTCCTCAGCCCGAGGCAACAGAGCACAGAGTTCTTTCAACCCGTTTTATTCAGTGCACGCTCTTGTCTCACATCACCCATGGTCTCCTGATTAGACAGCACCCCCCAGACCCCTCTTATCCTCCCACCCCGACATTTACTGGGGCTCACAGCAGCCACTTGAGAAGGATGGAAAAAGCTTTTTGCAGGTAGAGCTACAGCAGTGCCTGCAGACACACAAGTCTAAATACCCTGCTGGTCTGGGAGTCAGGGATTACCCTTTGACCGGCTGCTGGAGCCTTCGGTTTCCCAAATGGGAGCGTGGGGGTGGAAAAGCATAAATATTGAAGCATCTGTCACGTGCTGCTAGAAATGAATGGTGAACGCCAGGACGGTAGCCACTGGTGGTTAACACCAAGAGACCTGGGATTAGGCTGACAAACAAATCAACTCATCCCAGTTAAAGAAGTAGAACTGGGCTGTTCAGAGGCTACACCACGGCTGTGCGGCCTCCATGATCCTTTCTCATGTTTTTATCAAGTGGCTCTTGATTGAGTAGAAATGATCAGTTGAAAATTCCTTTTTTTTAACCATCATAACAATTTACAAAGGGATATTTTTTTAGTTCAATAAAGTTCGCCGCTAACGCTGTAGATCATGTGTCAAACTCAAGGTCCGGGGGTCAAATGTGGTCCACCAGGTCAATTTGTGTGGCCCGCAGGTGCTTAAAAAGCATTTAATTGCCTAAAATTAAAAGTCCATGCTGCTGAGTTTATTAAGCTAATAAATTATTTTTATCATTATTTTCTATAATAATAATACTATTTTTATTAAATCACAAATATTAATATTTTACTAATATTTGTAATTTAAATCAAAAATCACAAATAATAGAATTTTACTAATATTTGTAATTTAAATCAACAATAATCAATTGCAGAAATGTTTATTAATATGTTATTGGAGTAGTTATATTGATAAAGTCTTTCATTTACAACCGGTCCTTTAAGGGGAACTGTATTGTCAAAGGTGAAAATGTGTTTGACTCCCCCCGCTGGAGCACGTGACCCTAATGGCTGTGGCCTGTATCCCTGTTTCGACACTTTTATAATGCTTGGAGATTATTCACGAATGTATTTATAGTTAAAGGCGCCACCTCCTGTCCTTTTCTAGATTGTTTTATTACTCCTCGGTCTCCTCTTCCTCTCTCCATCTGTTTCCATCTTCCTCATACATCTTGCGTTTGCATTTCTCACATTCACACACCATTTCCCTTCCCAGCACCATGCACTCAACTGGAGAGGAATGCAACCTTTCCCCTGCAGAAGACCAGCACACATATCTCAGTTTGTAATATTTACAGATAACCCTCCACCCTCCTCCTCTCTCCATCCTTGGATTCTCTTTCCTCTGCTTCATCCAACACAGACGGAATGAGTGTCTTACAAAGATAAATGGCTCGTCTCAGTTCCCTTACCCTTCTGCCATCTGCTGCCTTTTCGGTCGTGGCTAGATATTGCATTGGATTACTCTTCTTCCACACAGCGCTCTCTCCGATGGGTTCGAAGCATATTTTTGTCCACCAGGGGCAGAGGAAGGAGGCAACTACTTGTACTTGGTTGGTTAGACATCCGGCAGCCATGATAGTGACAGACAAGCTTGAAACCTACAGAGGAAACAAAGGAAATATCCTTATGAATTCATTGATAATGAAGATTGATAAATATTTGATTTGATTTGTCCAGAATAGTAGAGAATACAAAAAAACAGAACAAACTGTCTAGAAAACTAGTTAAAGAATGAGTAGAGGAGAGGATGTCGAAGTAAAGTATGCAGTGTAGAGCAGAGGGAAGTCGAGAAAAGCCGTGTGTTGCCGTATGCGCATTGCAGGCTCTCTGATGGTGTGATGAAGCCTTCAAAATTTCTTCGCTACTAGACCAAGGGTTCTGCATTGAAAGACAAGCGCGACATCACGAGGACGCTGCTAATAAAGCGTTCTGCATTGAAAGACAAGCGCGACGTCACGAGGACGCTGCTAATAAAGTTGCATACACAGTGGCTTAACGTTTATTATTATATTTAGAAAATACCAGTTTTTATGCTGGTTGTACACATTATATTTTCAGTTGATATTCAAGTTCAGATATTAGACCAGTCAGTGGCACAAAAAAGGTTGGGGACCGCTGCTGTCTCCCTGCTGTAAGGAATGGGAATCATCCCTTAATTTTGTAGAAACCCTATAATAAGAGTCAGAAGTTAGAATTAGAAAGATCATTGATCTGATGAGGGCATCGGTTGTGACAATTTCAGTTTCTCCTCCAAGCCATTGGCTCAAGCCTTGCCAACGACACGTACGAGGACGAGCAGCAGTAGAACAATAACTGATTACTCAGTAAAGGTCAGAAAGCACTGGTAAAAACAAACATCACTTTTCAGTGGTGCAATTGTTGACCCATCTATCCTTCAACTCTTTACTTGCTTCTGTTTCCAACAGCTCCCCACAGGGTAAATACGCCATTTCAGTGCAACAGGGTGTGTTATTTTAGGGAATATATTCTGTATTTACAAAATACATTTTATGGGATGGTGAAAGAATGTTTAATTTAAAATGAAGACTGAGAACTGCCTCGGAGAAAAACAGTCTATCCACTCACCCAGAGAACCTGGAGCAGCTTTTAGAGGCAGCAACCCTGAATCCCCAAAATATATCAAGGACGCAGTGCAGTACACCAAGTAAAGATGTTGTTTTTTTAGATATATATTCATACTTGTAACTTTTTGGAATGAGGGGACTATATGAATAAGTAAAGGAAAAGTGAGCAGAACCTCATATTCATATTCAAGTGCAGATACACAAACACACACACAAACTGTTGTTTTTGGTTGGCTCTGGACCCCATGGTCTGGTCCAGTGTTTCCCAAACCTTTTTTGGGGGGA